AATGGTAGCCTATGTTGACATGCAACTTCCTAGAGAGGAAGAATTCCAAGAAGATAAGTGGTTAGCCTTCTAGAGACCGAGGCGTTACTGGTGGCCCACCCTGTATATGACTATATTACGAAAACTGCATTGGCTCCAGATCTCACTTCTAGTGGTATTCAAATAACCACTGTTCAAAATTGCACTTTTAACATTAATTTATATAATTATTACTCTACCACAAATAGAAAATATGTAGGATGCAAGAGTGAAAATAACGTGCCCGTCAGTTATACTGTACCTATACCTACTTCTTTGTACTTTCATCAATAAATTATTTGGAAATGACTTTTTATTTAAGGGAGACGATAAAATCATATGTATAACATGGGGGTAAAGTATATTCTATTCTTCATTTTCCTGCCGTTTCACGTATTACTTTTAATAAGCCTACTTTTCGTCCTAGAATCAGTCACTCAATAAATTTTTCTCCGAGTTGGATTTCCGAAAATATATTTAGCACACATGACATGAGTACAGTAGTTGAGATACCCACATCGAGGTTTTCGCCATTTCTCAATCATAAGGCCCAGCTCATGCAGCTCATAGTTAAACTACTGCTCAGCTTGAAATAATAATTTATTCAGTCAATTCAGTCACTGCCTGTTTTTTTTTTGTTTTTTTTTCTCCGAGGTGGTTGAAATCTTTTATAGACATCATATGGGTCCAATCCCCCATATGATAGTGTGGGAGTCCCCTCCATGGTATACCCACTAAACACTCCACCCCGTTGTAGGCTCGTCTGACCGATGTCTCCGACGACACTTAGGCCTAGTGCATGGAACATTGTATCTCACCTACATGCCGTTATCAATTTTACCACATACGACTCATGGTGCCTATTAAGGACCACTTAATATGAAAGACCCTTCTCGTTCAGGTCCCTGAAGATTGCTATTCCGATCCCTGTTCTCGTCTACGAAGAAGGCCAAAAGCTTTCCTTCTCCTACGAGTGACGGGGGAAGGGGTTGGTCCAGCCCTGTGGTGCCCCCTGCACAGGGCTAAGTCACTGCCTGTATGTCACTGTGGTAAATTATCTCTTGGTAATGGAAATAGTTCGATCTCTTCACTACATATTGTATGTTAAGTTCTTCCACAATCACGCATTTTTGCAAAAAAATATATTCTCGAAAAAAAAATTGCACCTGTATACAAAATATCTCCCCTCCCCCCGTTCAATATTATTATCATCATTAGTCATAGATAAATCATTTTGTTCGGAAATTAATCGGTTAGTAGCATGATTCAACTTATTAGTCATTCATTCGGGACCAGGTGATAAATCAAGACAGTAATTATGTCGCCACTCAACATAGGTTCCCACAAGAAGATGCTGACATTGCTGATCCCACAGTTTGGATTCCCTGAATCCACCGTTTCCATGAAATCAGCAAGATCGTCGTGTATCCAGCGAGAGCCGTTCTGCAGTCAGTTCTTAACTCAACTCCGTATGTTAAACATCTCTTGTATATAATTTGTCAATCATACGTGTATACGAAAAATAAAGTTTTTAAAAAAGGACTTCGAGCTATCGGAAATAGTATTCAGTTTTATATTAGATTTCATCATGTAGTAAACTCTAAAACTAAAGGATTGTTCAACTATATCTTGGTATAGTTGAATCAGGAATTCCATATGGAAATTACGTATGATACGCCAATGACCTCAATATAACCTAAAAAACAACAAATGTCAAAAATCTAGTGTTTATCCCCAGAATTGAATAGGGATGGAACTATATAACTGTTTCACAAACACTTCCGTACCCTTTCCCATCAAGGGACTCTATTTCCAATCATGTATAAATGTACAAATAAAAAAAACAAATATTCGGAAAAATCGATAAGTACGAAATGTACTTGTTTCGTTGAAAAAATATAGATAAAATACAAAAATATACATGGGTACATAAAAAGTACTAGAAAATATAAATATAGCGACATATACATGGATATACATAAATATAGTGACTATAGATTATCTAAATCATTCCAAAATAGAAAAATAAAAAAAACAATACATACACATTTTCATAGCGATAGTACGGTAGAGAGTTATTTTACAAAATTTTTTTGACATTGAAATGTGTTTCTTCAGTTGTTGTTTGAAGTTGCGTGATTAGTGACTAGTGATTCGATGATTTCAGGAATGCTATTATATACATATATAGTGTGCAGACTTGAAAAAGTTATTCATTTTGATAGGAAAGGCAGAAAGCCAATTCCTCATTAATTTTCTGTTCTCGTCAGGAAAATGCTTTGATCATTCTAGAGACAAAAGAATTCAAGCGCCATCGGTTTTCAAAATGAAAATTAGACTTGTCGAAGAACAAGGAGCGAACTGTAATAAGACCTGTATATAGTACGTGGCAAGTAAGAAAACTGTAACAGTAGGTAAGTGGAACGCGGACTTGAAGGAGTGGAACTAGGTGGAGATGCTTTGTCTGAAACAGAGGTGTGAAAACTCCTATCAAATCCCATCTACTGTTTTTCGGTCAAAGTTCTTGACCTCCGGCTACTTGACAGAAGGATTCCTTTCAACAATGACGGCCAAATATCAAGTCAGCTGCCTGATTGCTTTTCAATATCGCGGAATATAGGTCGCATTTTACCCGTTATATGGCGAAATTTTAATCAAAATCAAAGGTTGGTAGAACTGATGATAATAAAAATTCCCCAAAATTACAGTTTCGCACTTTCAAATTCACCCGTTTTCTATTTTCTGTCATGTAAGAAATCTGTAGAAAGTGTCGCCATCTTGCGGAGAAGTGAGAATTAATATTCCATTATTGCGGAATCTGCGGTCAAACGTTCGCATCGCGCATCGCCAATACAATATCTCAACAAAAATGGGACCAAAACAGGACCAAGATGAGAGGTTTTTTTTGAATTTATAAAGACGGAAAATGAAGGATGGAAACAACCACAAGTTTTCGTATTGAACTGGTCAACATTGATAACGCGCAACGACGCGTCGTGCTCCAAAATATAGCATGAATTCAAAGTAGAATAACTCACGAATTTCCTCACCAATATGAAATCGGTTTTCACCGATGATTAGCCTAATCTCTTGACAGTTTGTTGTAGCAATATGAAAATACTGTAATTTCAGATAACATTGCTACAGGGTGATAATTGAATGGGTGTATAATTGCATCGTGGTCGTCACCTTACTTTTTGAACAGATAATTTTTTTAATTTTTTTTCTCACCTGTATCCTCTTGATTGATGCTTTCTCTCGAAATATTTCCGGAATTTTCAAATTCAGAGCTTTGATAATCGTGTTATGAATATTCATTCAGAATGATACATTTTTTCGACGATTAATCGAATGAAATTGAAAGTTGGAATTTTTCTCCGAAGAATCAACGTTGTATGTATAGTCGTCGGATATGTGATCGTGTTCGAACACAAAAAATTCTGAAAAAGTCTATACAAAGTGTTACAAGAAATACTGAATGATGGAATGGAGAATAACGTAGTCTTCAGTAGATGAAACATAATTTTCTCTGTGTTACTAGTGGAATAATGGAGTGTTCCTTCGTCATCAGGATGTCTGGTGTCTCACCTCGAAATGGTTTGGAATTCCTTGGATCGAAGGTCATATAATGAAAGTACGCATTTTTAATCGAAATGATGCATTTTCGTTAAGATAAATTATAGAATTCAAAAAATTACGATTATAGTTCCAGAAATATGAAATTCATACTCATTCTTGACGATGGAATATAAGGTGCGATAAAAAGTCCTCATGAGGCTTATACGAGGTGATGTGAACGAGACGAGGACGAGGATTTTTTGACGTGAGAAAACATAATAGCAATAATCGTTGGTATACTCCTAACTTATACCCAACGGAATTCGTCAAATCTATAGCATCAGGTGAGATATTATAAATTCCTTATGAATCATCCTGTGAAAAAGATGATGCAGAAATGAGCATTCAAGAGTTATTCTATCTCCATTCAACTTCACACTGAGTGACAATGAGGAAAGTTTCCTTCGGAAGACCATGTTGTAGGTGCTAGATCAGTATAAGATGCAGTGGTAACAAGTATGCACGAATATATATGTATATGAAAAATTTGAGGTCTCTTTCATATTGCCTACAAGCCTCATGAGAATTTTTTGTGTTCGAACATGATCATATATCCGAAGATCATACATACAACGTTGATTCTTCGGAGAAGAATTCCAAACTTTCAATTTCATTCAATTAATCGTCGAAAAAATGCATCATTTTATATGAATATTCATAACACGATTATCAAAGCTCTGAATTTGAAAATTCCGAAAATGTTTCGAGAGAAAACATCAATCAAGAGGATACAGGTGAGAAAAAAAAAATTAAAAAATTATCTGTTCAAACGGTAAGGTGACGACCCGTGACGACCACGATGCAATTTTACACCCATTCGATTATCACCCTGTAGCAATGTTATTTGAAATTACAGAAGTTTTATATTGCAACAGCAAACTGTCATGAGATTGGGCTAATCATCGGTGAAAACCGATTTCAAATTGGTAAGGAAATTCGTGAGTTATTCTACTTTGAATTCAGGCTATATTTTGGAGCACGACGTTATCAAGGTTGACCAGTTTATATTTTCCGTACGTCGGCATCAACGCCTATTGGTCGATTTGAGACAGAAGTTGGTACCGCTTTGAGGAGAGCTATGCTTCATATATGAGTAGTAGATATATGCTCACGACCATCCGACTGTCACAAATGTCAAATGTCACAAGTCAAAATACTACAGTAACAGTAAACACTAACCTAACTTTTTCGATTTTTTTTCGTGAATCAGAATTTCGGCTTTCGGCTTAGAAAATAATGATTTGTTCCAGAATTTCGCATTTAATACTTTTTTCAAAATAGTTTTCACAGTTAACTTCTATTAACATCCGAGCTAACATCCTTTTGGATTATTCCGTTTCAAAGAAACTCAAAACCGATGGAAAATGGTTTGGATTACCCTCAAACAAACTAATAAAATGTTTGTCCATATCAACAGAAGACTTGTGCATCAGAGATTGTACAGTGGTAGGAAAGGAATAATACTAGGAATTGAAACCTCATGTGATGACACAGGTTGTGCTATTGTTGATACTGAGGGAAATATATTGGGTGAATCTCTGAATTCTCAACATTTGATACATCTCAAGTGAGCATAATTTCTATTGTCCCATTAAGTACGAACATAACCCAGTTCTGGACCCAGTTATAACATGAGTACTTATCACATAATGATTTTAGCAATGGAGGAATCATTCCACCAATAGCAAAAGATTTACATAGAAAACATATAGAAAATGTAGTTGATGAAGCAGTAGCATTGGCCAATTTGAGTTTTGATGATATTGATGCAATAGCCACTACAGTTAAACCAGGTAAGTTAGTAACATGTAGCTGTATGCTGTACTCATTAAACAGTATTAAAAATAATGCTTTCAACAATCAAGTCCTGATAAATGGATTGATAAAAAATATTCTATTGAAGAATATGAGATAAAGAATTCAACTATATTTGTATAAAAGCAAGTATGAAAGTTCTAGGTACAAATATTCAGGAAATAAAGAAAGAATCTGAGAATTTTGAGGTGGTAGTATAGTGGATAACCAATAATGGTATATGTTTATGTACATTATGTTCCTTGACCAAAACGACTTGTGTTTTCATAAGTAATATGAGAATGTTCTGAATATTCAGGATGATTCTGTCATGAGATTGTGTTAGGTGGTATTGCTGCATGGAAACACAATTGAGATAACAATGAAAGACAAAATTATGAGAAGATAATCAGGATAGAGTGGTATTTCATTCTGACAATTACAGTGATAATTATGTTATGCCAAACTGACAGACACTTTGCTTTGCTATCCATGGTTAAATCCAGACTTTGCTTCACTATCCATGGTTACAGTGTTGGAAACATCAACGCTGATAGACCAATCAGAATTGAAAGACAGCTAATGTTTTCCCAATAAGCACATGTTATCTCTGGCCTATGATTGGTTTCAATTATGTGATGAGTGAAATAGTCAAATGTAACAAACTGGAGAACCAATTTATCTGCTATGTAAGAACATAGTAATATCATATATTTTTAGTTTCAGAACCCATGAAATTATTTATACTTATTATCAATGGTTGAGATAATGGGCAGAAATACTATACAAATGGCTGCATTCAAACCTCTCATCAAATACTGATAAAACTGAATATATGATTTTTCAACAAAAAAATAAACAAAATATAAATTTAAATCTCTGAATTATAAACGAGATTATAAATGAATCTTTGAAACAAACTAATGAGAAAAAGTATCTTGGGATTTGGTTTGATGATAAATTGAAGTGGGACAAACATATGAATGTTTTGATGAAACAAATATCTCCTATTATTGGAGCCCTGAGAAGATGTCCCATATTAACTATTTGATATATGTTTGGGGATACTGTTCAAAAAACAATTTTGATAAAAAAACTGCATTATATAGAAAGACATTGAAAGTGCTGTATTGTTTACCATATGATACACCAACAAATCAATTATATAAAATAACTGAATTATTCTCATTAGAAGAAATTACCAAACTAGACAACATGGTTTATTTCATCTTGATATAGCTAATTCTTCCATAGTCCAAAAAAGATTCACCCACTCTGCTCTCTTCAAATATAACAATTTACCAGATAATATAAAAAATTGCAGAAATACAATACAATTCAAATACCAACTTAAAAAATTTATCATTTCTGAAGGAAATAGATGACTTATTTATTTTTTCAACTTTTGATTCATATTCAATTTGATTTTTGCTCACCACTATGAAATGATTTGTCAAAATTTAATACTTAATGTTTTCAAATATTATATTATTTATGAGTTTATTATAATTGTATAGTTTTAGGTATTATTGATTCTCTTTATTACCCCAAGAAACATTATTGTTTATAATAGGGATATATACAACAAAACATACATATAAAACATAATAAATCAAAACAATAATAATTGCATAATTATTGTTTCTCCTAAGAAAAAAATTATAATAAAATATAAAATGAAAATATTAAAATCCATTACAAGTAATCAAATTGTGAATGATAAGTACTTGCAGATATGGAATTAAAGTTTACTGAGCAGATATTTCTTTAATTTCATTTTAAATTTTTCTGCTTCTCCTATATTTTTCAACTCATTAGGTAAGGAGTTATACAAAATTATTCCATTATAGAATATTGATTGTTTACCAAAATTACTTATAATTATTTGCTATCAATAAATTGAATTGCCTTGTTTCATGGGCATGAATCATATTAACTTCATTAAAATTCAAATTCGATATTTTCAATTCCTTACTGACAAAATGAATAAAACAACAAATTTTGAGTTCATATAATGAAACTAGATTCAGCAAATCTTTAGGTTTGTATAGATTCCCAGTTGATTCTAAAAAAGGTAAATTGAAAATGCACTTTATTGTTTTATTTTGTAATTTCATGAGTGGCTTCAAATGTGAAATATTTGTACTTCCCCAAATAGATATTAGATATTGTATATTTGAATAAAAAAGACAGAAATAAATACTCTTTAGGTATTTAACAGGAATGAAATTTCGAATTTTATATATAATACCAGCAATAGGATTCAATTTTTTCCTCAATTGATCTATATGTAGAGTCCACGATTGTTGTTCATCTATATATAGACCTAAAAATTTTGTTACATTTGTATATTTAATGGATTTGTTATTGAAACATATAGGGGTATTATTCAATATGTCACTTGTTCTTTTTGAGATGTACATATATACGTAGATATACTATTTTTAGAGGTCAACTTATTTGGTCGTTAGCCAAGATGATATTTGTTTCAAATCATTTTTAATATCATTATTGATATCGTTGAAATCTTTTGAAGTATAGATTATTGTTGTATCATCTGCAAATAATTTTAGTTTTCCTTTCAGTTTTAATGTAGATATTGAGTTGATATAGATTAAAAATAAAATTGTTAACTATACTTCCTTATACCAGAACTTGATTCTAACTGGAAGTCACATTTTCAATAAATGAATAAATAAATAAAATAAATAAATTGAGTGCAGTGGAACTGTTATGGTTGCTTCAGTTTTCCATTTACATGATGGAATCCACCTTGCTCATTTGAAGACATGATGAAAATGTTCATAAGTACCTTGGACGTTTATGGAGAACGGGACATAGGATCATTCTGAAAATTTGGTTACTTAAGTAGTTGCTCTTGGTCTATCCATCAAGAATATTTTCAGCAATGGAGTGTTGCTGCTCAAACCAGAAAGTTGTAGCAAGTTTGATATTTCAAATGGATTACCCAGTATTTCATTGCATTTTCCGTTGGCAGGAACTGGTGGAGTGTTTTCCACTGAGTGTATATCTTCCTCTGTTTAACACATGAGAGTAAGAAGAAAACATATACATTGAGTGCAAAAACACTACACCAGCACCCGCCAATGGAATTTACTATTAGATTCTACCTGAAGAGCTGATTTCATCACACTTGAGGTCTAGTGGGAATGATTACAGAGATATAGGGTGTTCAAAATCAAGATTTTTTAACCATAGGATATTTTTTGTATTGACACTATTGATTATTGGTCAAAACGGCTTTCATGTCCCTATCTCAACTTTATTTGAATAAAATATCATGCACGTCATACTGGTTCAAAAAACTCTGGTTTGAAGAGGCTAAAAAGAATAGAATATTCAATAGATCCTTGAAATTTTTTTTTTATGGATTATTTTGAAATAATACTGAAGGCATACCATCATCTGAATTCATGATGTCCCCTGCATTTGTCGCATAAATTTTACCCCATTTTCACTCCGAAAATCGTAAATCTAGTTTCCTCCAATGAAAATGACGAAGTTCCGATTTTATTATTCTTGGGGTGAAAATGAAATAAAATTGATGCAACAAAATCATTCGATTATATAAATTCGATAGATCTTATGCCCTATGTATTTAAGACCAATTAATTCAAAGCAAGATATTTTTTTCTGATCAAAATAACAGATTTCCGATTTTTTCGATTACTGGGATGAAAATGGAGTAGTGATCTTGTGAAATAATAACTATATTTCTTCTACTACGTACTGCTAGGCGTCCTTATGGATTGAAACACCTATAGCCAGTTGTTTTATTTCTACTATGCAAATTATTACTCCACGACCTGCTTTTCCGGCTTGCTGGCTTCACACCGGCCTACCTTATTTTTTATTGTTTATTGTTTAACGAGAACGAAATGATAGTCATTTTCCACGAGAATGAAGTTTCCCCTACGGCTCATGCCGCAAATCTTACGAGTGGGAAATAGCATACTTTTTCTACTGCTGTATAAGAAGCAATAGCTTTGATTTCTTTGGCTTGTACCCATCTGATTTTCTCTTAAGTAATGCTCTGTTAGAGCTAGCTGTCATTGAATGGGAGATTACATTTATTGTGTAATAATAACACAATGAAGTCATTGTGATTTCAAATTAGGGAATGACTTTGAAGACAAAAAAGTAAAACAAGAGTAATCTTGTGTTATAGCCGTAGAGAAATTTATTAAACGTCGAATACCTTAGTCGAATTATTCAGCATGTTATTCATTAGTTACTGTAAGTATGGAGAACTTGAACATTTTTAAAATAATCTATGTATCTTACCTCACCCCTGTACCTCGTGCAGTTCTTAAGCTTGTTTGAGCTATAACACTGTCCGTATACTAGATACTATCCCTGAAAAGCGGTAATCTCTCAATTAGTCGAAGTATTTTATTTTATTTAATAGTTGTAAAATAAATAAATATCTGAAAATTTTGCGGTTATCTTCGTGTAAACTGCACTTTCTTCTCACTGTCTATGCTGAATTTGGTGTATCGAGTATCGGAGCATTGTCACCATCTTTCTCCGCAACTGTGTTTCCCGATTCAGGATTCTGACACTCGTACGAATCGCACGATACATTCCCGCAATCTCCGCCGGACATTCGTCCCGACGCTTCGCCCTCGTTCTCGTCATTCGAGTTTTCTTCTCGGTTCATTTCAGTTTCTTCTCGGCCCATTTCGATGTCGTTCGTCCTAGCTTCGTACTCTTCGACCAGGTGTTCGGGTTCGCTCAGGTCGCTTTCGCTACTGCTGGTGACGAGCATCAACGAAACAACGGAGTTGAGGAGATTGGGGGAGCTGATGGAGACTCCGACTCCTAAGAGATGGTGGTGCTGGGTATCTTCAGTGGTGCTATGACAGGAGGAGTTTCCATGGGATTTTTGACCGCTCACCTAGGAAAAACCACCGATATAAATAGCTAGATCCGAACTTGTTTTCAATAAAGAGTGCACAGTAGTCAAGCTAAGGAGCCATGACTATCAGAATATGTAAACTATGCCTTATTCTTAACTAGAATGCCTGTGTAGTGCGCATGTTTCGCTACATATGTTTTAGTAGGAAATTGGGACGTGATGCGAGATGTAGTGACGTCATCATCGACTGAATTAAATTAATAAATGAATTCAAGTTCTAGTATAGATGTTGCCTGATGTACAATTTTTCGATTTGTCGTACATTTAAGTTTTTTCGGTTTCACTTTTGTCGCCAGCCATGTTTTTGTGTGAAGGTTGCTATTTGTCTTGTACTGAGACATATTGAATATGTCAAATTCCCATTATTTCTAAGAAAAAGACACAAACCCAAAGTCTGTCGACTACAAAATTATATTAAATTAAAAGCGATGCGTGTAACTAGTTTTTTATAGACCCTTGTGGTGACACTAATGTTTTTTTCACTGTGTGAAGGCTGCTAATTTTTCTATACTGACTATATCTGTCTCATTTTTTGTATGATATATTTTCAACAATGTTTCTTTATGCGAAGAAAAACCATATTTTTGTGACACCTTGTACACTCATCTCTCTGATTTTTGTATAAGACCTTTGTGTTGGCAGCCATGTTCATTCTTTCTGCGTGGAGGTAGTCATTTTTAAGGCCCTGTATATCTGGCAGCCTTCATATTTCATACGTCATACGTTAGCTGTCATTTGCTTTATGTATTATGTCTGCTGAGTCACGTGATTTTAACCCTAAAGTGGGGGTGGTCTACCCTTCAATCACCACAATATATATAGTTTTTAACCCAATATTCATCTCAGGTTTTTCTCGAACACCCTTCATTCACGGAACAAGTGCCTAGATCTGGGTACAAATCTACTTTCCTTTACCTAGACTCTTATGAGGCCTTGCATCGCATAATTTCCGTAGAATCTGGGGAAAATTTACAGAAAAACTTTACAGAACTCTTTCAATTCCGATGTAATCAGTAATAATAATTTCCAACGTCTGCAGATCGATATAAACACCCTGTTTGAATATCATTATCATAATGCAATTTACATGAATGTCTGTATAGCTTGGTGCGTATATACGTTGCCTTATGATACAAAAGTCCCGATTTCAGTTCCTTAACAGATTTTATTCATACATTTATTTAATTCAGTCGATGATGACGTCACTCAACGTAGCGAAACATGCGCACTGCACTGGCGTTCCAGAATAAAGCATAGTTTGCCCTGTTCTGAAAGCCATGGCCCCTTTAGCATAACAACCACTGTGCGCATACTAGATCTCTCATATATCTCACTCACTCTTACTTATGTTCCCGAACACCAAAACATCAAGAGAAATAAACGACAATTGCGCATTGAACAGAATCGTTTCAGGCAAGCAATTTGTATTTTCGGATTGCTGAGATATGCAGTCTAGATAGTAGTCATGTCGCAATATTGAGACATATGCTCACTTTTTAATAGTTTTTCGTTAGAATGTCTTCATGGGATCCACCGGAATTTTGCTTGTTGATGGTGACACATCGGTTTTGTTAGTGAAATCTAATGATTGACAATATTCAACTACAAGATAGTGCCTTGAGGAAGAGAGAAATTGACAACAACATAAAAGTAAGACGCAAAAACCAACATTGCGCAACAAGATCAGCTCATGGTTGGAAAAGGCTGGGAAATCATTGACAAGAACAACCAAAAACCAAATGTAAACTGAGTAAGTAGATTGCTTTGACAGCTTGCAAAAAGCCCATTAGGTGGGTTACGCTCATTATAAACGTGGATAGCTTATGATCTATTGCGAATCCAAAGAAATTTGACTTTGACAGCTTCCTAATTGGTAATCGTGGAAAATGTTAGCTTTCGTTGAGCCAAGTTGCCTTATTTTATCTATTAAAATGATTCGAAATTCGAAAGCCATACCCAGGTTCATTAGTATTTGCTGCCGCAATGTAATTAACCAAAAAGATGACGTTAATTTCGGTGATGTGAGGACGAGGATTGAAGTAAAAATATTGGAATCATCAATAAAACGCTAGACAAAAAAGAAGGCATGAGCCTATAGTTTTTTTGGCTCTCCCTATCATTATCACATACCATCTGATATCACAACAGAGCACACCAAAGGGCTTTTTGAATGTTTACCAGAGTATTATTAACCAGAATTCATTCGGACTGGCAATATTTTAGGGTATAAATCAATTATTCAATCGAGAAACCCTCAATTTTATCTCATCTCGGTTTATGAGTAATCGAATCAAACGTCAGATTCATAAAAAAACGATAATGATTTCGTGTTGACACTGTTTCACTATAACTGAATGATTTACCTGAGTTTGTATCGAGGAATCTGAAGTTGAACTGCAAATGGAGTTATTACCAGAGGGAACTTTCGAAGTACATGGAAACTGATTTTCTGAAATGTCGCAATTTTTCGCCATATCAGGAAACTCATTGGTGGCAACGGTTACATGTTCTATAAATTTTGGAAAACTTGCCGACATCGACTGTATAGGTTCGACTGCTTTTGAAGTGGACGGAATAGGTTCCATTACACCAGCGGAGCAAGGCGAGTCATTCAAACATAAGGAACCTGAAAGAATCCATCAATATAATTATAATACTGCTCCAGTTACTTGTTTTAGTAGTCACTTTGAAACTCTTTCTCTGTCTTCCCAGGGAGTTACCTTCTATAAAGGAACGAAAACGAGAACATTACCATTGAAAAGTTATGGAAACTTACTTGTACTATCATTTATATTATTAGTATTTGTACTTGTACTCTTCAACATTTCCGTTGCCAATCGTTCTTTGGATTCGTTTATTTGAGATAGGTATTGATGTTGAGCTGCTTGTAGTTGGTTAATGTACCATTGCTGATCACGACATCTTTGGTAATATGTTGGAGACCGAACTTGAAACCTTCAAAAGAGATTGAACTATTATTTATTAATGGCTCGATTGAACATCTGGAATGGGACCATTCGGATGCAATACGATATTTGACCAAAAGTAAAAGATGAAGCATCCTTAGTGTTTGAATGCATCTATAGCAGTCCACTACATGACAGGATGGGTTATGAATGATGATTCAGCCAGTTCATCTTGTTTAATCTCTTGCTGGTATAGCACTTTGTCTCACCAAAAGAAAAGTGACTGCCATGACACTCAGAACATACTTCGAAAGTAGCGAGGCTACTGACCTCATCATTCCACCAAAAAAAGAATAAACATTGGAATTTCCTTCCATACCTCATCTCGATAAAGCTTGACAGACTTGGTTCTTGTAGTGCAGTGAGAGTTTATAAAACCGTAGATTCCTTCCATAAATTGAAAATCTTGCATTAGTCAAGTAGATAATGAAATGAGGTAATCGGGATCGCAAATTTTCTAAAGGTCGTTATGTTATTCGGGTGCCTGTAGGTAGCTGAGCCATCAATATACAAACGTTGTAGCTTGGCGGAGGTACCATTTCAAACATAACTTCGACTACTGCTAGTGATAAGGAATGCTTTATAAAATGATCATAAAAGTTTAACTATAGGCTGTAGTGTAGTGGGCCTTGTGACTTATTCCTACAATTAAAAATAAACATTCATAGCTCAATTCATTGGTGTTGGTCAAATTAATTTTCATGAAATATTATGATTTATCAAATTTTTATGCCATCACGCATAAACTTAGCTTCATTTTTTGTTATTGATACACTTCTGCAAGTGATATGAGGATGCATTTGCTATTTATTCAAAATTCCTAATGTTCATCCTCGTGAAGGTTTTACTGCAACGTATTCTTGGGTCTGGAAAGATTCTATGGTATTAAACAGAGCATAGCATTTGGATTTTCGTCTTGTTCAGCATTTGGAATATGAAGTGGCACCTAGAGTGCAAGAATATTTCGATTACCAGTGTTCACCTATCAACAAACGCCACGTTACATGAAATAAAAACAGGGGATACTTTATAACAAATTTATAAAATAGAGTCACTAGTAATCATATCTATCTAGAAGCTCGGTCGAAAACTAACATGTCAAATCATAAAAAAATCAGAACTACTCTCTTCTGTCAATTTCTATCTGATAAAAATGTACAAAAAATCAATTTACACGAATCCAGTTAAAAGTTGAGAGTTATCAGCCAGGTCAAAATTGAACATTCATTCGAACGTTTTTGTTCCATAATTTTTCATTGAATTGGTCAAAGTGTGCTGTGCAAATTGGAGAGAAGTTTTTATGAAATTTTGTTTGATCTTTCTGAATCTGATGAAATTTTCCGAGAAAAGTGATCACAAAGTGAACTTTTTTGACATAACAATGAAAAATGAAATTTTCCCAAGTCCTGACATGGATATTTCTTTTCATTATATGTTATCTTGAATAGTTTCAGTAGAGATACGTCGCTGCCAAATTTCAGTAGATTACGATGAATCATTTCTGTAATATCGGCCATCAAAGTAATATAATTTCACATAATACCCTGTATCTTCGTTATGGAGGGTCGAAAAATGTTTTCATATATATACATCAACTCGTCTTGATTTCTCCTACTAACCATTTGCCTATGTGGGTTTCCTCATGAAACACCCTATATATCTATTTTTTTCATGTTCATGATATGTCTGAGAATAGTCCGTTTCAATACAGTGTATGTATATTTATAAACTACCTTAACACCAGGGAATCTGTTTCTATGTTCAGGTATCCTTCACTAGCCAACAAATCCAGTCTGAAGAATCTATTGTACCCCCAACATTCTCCCACTTCAAAGTCGCTAGCAAATTCTCTAACGATATTCTTCGATGGGTCTCTGCTCGACTGATGAATCATTTCAACTCTGTAAATCAAGATTGCTGAATGAATTCTGAATGGTTTTATAACTTATATTTTTTATGGATAACAAATAATATATCATTTGACCTTGCGTTTGATTATAGATCTAAACATAGTTTGACAATATATGTTCCAATACCTTCAAAATGAAGTTAATTTACTCATACATTTTATTGTAATTGCAGTAACATTATAGAGGGCAGTTAGTTTTTTAATTACAAGAAGGGGTACAAACATATATTTTGACTCAAAATTCTGCATATTATACATAATTGATTACTTGATCATAACCTATGGATCTAAAATCATCATAATCTTTATCATTTCCAAGAAACAATTGACAAATATGTTTCTAACAGGTTACAATAAAAAAAATCCAGAACGTATTACATTACACTCAAAATGTATTAGGTATTGGAATAATGATTATTCTTGAAATTCTTATAGGTTGAGCTGATACTTGTTAGAGTAAATGGATGATTCAAATAATTGATATGAATGATATATGATCTTTATATAGATGACATGACAAACTTCAGACTAATGGTCTATCATATCAGCTCCTACAATAAATATAGTCATAGTTACTCTTTGCCTCTATATTCTTGAATATTTCTGATTTGATTACTGAATTATAGAGATGAGAAATTCGTGCGTTTCTATTGGCCGAAAATTCGTTTCATAGTGATAGTTACGTGTTTTTGTTGGCCGTTGTCCTACGTGGGTGAACCCTATGGATACCCAGCGAAGCGATGCAATGCGGCTGTTCTGTCCTACGTAATCCGCGTCATATTCGCGTTCGCGAATTTGTATTTCCGTAAGGCAGTTTTTTACTTGAAAACTCGTATATCAAATACAAATTCGATGTCAAAGAAGTGAAAATAATATTGTTTATCCACAAAGACACAAGCTTCGAGTATTATTTCATCATCATCACGCGTCAATCGCACGAAAATATCCATCCAATTGATCGCATCGCTTCGCCTATTGTCGCGAGCATTGGTTCACATAGGACATTTCAATATTTTTCGTGGTTTGACATCTTCGCGTCGCATCGCATCGCTTCGCGTTCGCATCGCTTCGCGTTCGCATCGCATCGCTTCGCGTTGCATCGCATCGCTTCGCGTTCGCATAGCAGTGGCCCACGTAGGGCACCGCGTAATACGGCAGTAGAGAAGAGTTCTAAAGCGTAACCTCGTGAATTGCTCTACCATTTGCTATTTATGGGTTGCGTGCAAGAACTGTCAGATGACCGACCCTGGTGTTGAAACATTGAAACACAACCTCACACAAGTGATTGAGATAGTTTTTCACAATTATTTTGGCACACGATTCGTGTTTTTAGGCTATTCATTAATTCGCGCATGTCATCACATTGTGCTGTTGTACAATGCACGAAAAATGCAATGGGAGACGAAGGAATCCGGTTGGTACATTATGATTTAAAAGTAAGAACCTACTATAGTCACTCACATATAGTGTTCATTTTGAAATTTGTTAATTTCTCTAATTTCTCATCGGAATTCCATATGCAATAGGAGCTGATAGAAATACTCGTAAAATTTCTAAAATAATGAAAGAAGTTTGGATTCATGCAAAATCAAACGGGAGAACTGGTCTGACATGCTGACGAAATATGATCGTATGTGTGTTGTAAACATTTTCAATCTATTAGCAGTATTAGTAGAGTTTCTAAATGTACTTGACAATGCTGCTTTGACGTTTTTTGTATATTAGAGTACGGACACTAGACAAGCAGTGACAATCAACAAACGATTTTGAAGCAAATCATATGTTTTGCCAGACAAGGACAAGAATATGTTTTTGCTTAGATAAAGGATCCTCGCATCTTCCTTCCTCCACAAGTCCTGGGAAGAGTACATCCATATATCTTCCTCTGGGTACGATAAATTGATTAAAAAATTATTTTTCTCTCGAAATATTGAATGATAAGACTGCAGGACCTCAATGGAGGTCGATATCAAGTTGATATGTACATATATACCAACGAAATACATATACTATTCCTATAAAATGAGTCTCTTATATGTAGGTATACGTTCAGTTGAATATTTTTTTATCACAAAAGTTCAGAATGAGGTAAAAACTGATAAATTTCAACCAATGAAACATACTTTTATATCGTATGGAACAATTTCACTTGTACAAGAGTGGTAGGTAAAAAGAAATTAATATATGAACAAATGATATGGCAACAATAACAGCTGATTTCAGTTAGGATAAATAATAAAGGTTCTCAAAGACATACGGAAGTGGGTATATATGGACTTCAGCGGTCGACTCACTATAGATCGCCGTTCACATTGCTAAAGGGGATTATTGGTTTGAACCCGGCCGCGATTTTACTAAATATACTGCACCCTAGCACAAACCACGCCCACCATAATACGTCATATCTCCAAACATTACCGATATACTCGGAGTCAGCACATCGCACTAAATATACTGTGCTCCAACGCAAGAATACACTTTTTATGATTTTGACACGAATTCGACTGAAGCTCTCTCGTTGTCAATCTCTTGTACGCATAAATTCATATACCCAAATAGTCTACTGGTTAGCGCTGTCGACTTTCAGTCTGAAGGTCCATGGTTCGAATCGCTGTGAACTTTTTTGCAACTTTTTTTTTCACCAATGTTTTTTTACTTCATTCTGGTTTTCCTTTTTCATAAAATATTTGAAGTCAAATAGGTTAGTGCGTTTAGGATAAACAGTAAATTTTGTTGAAGAACTCATCTTTTGAAATATATTATTAATCAATGTGTTTCTACAGTCCATTCGGTTTTCCTTCCTCAAAAATATTGCAATCAGGGATAGGTTAGTTCGTTAAGGACAAATAGTTTCTGAGTTTCGCCTAAGTACTTCGAAGATGAGATATTACGGTGGGCGTGGTTTGTGCTAGCGTACAGTATATTTAGTAAAATCGCAACCCGGCCATCGGAAGATCATTTTCAATACCTAACATAAATGGTGCACTCGTATCTAGTTTCCCAAGAAGTGGTTCGAAATCCACTAGGAGATATGTAGTCCTCTAGCACTTCTCAACTACGCATGAACATGCACATTCAGACTTAGGATTTCAACTTTGAAGAAGCGATACACGAACAATATATTCAACTCTTTGATATAGATACATCAATATCTGGTACATCAGAGTTCCACAAAGTGACTATATGATTTCACAAAATTATTATAAGAGTTCGTATACGAAGATGATCTATAGAATTCTTGGTTGAACAGGGATGTGAAATCTGTTTGAGTCAGTCAATACAGGAAGTTGCTGCTGTTTTATCATCATATGATATCGACCATGATCTCAAGTCTGTTTCTTTCAGAATATGTTCGAAATGAATTTCATTATCTTATCGGCAAGTTTTTCGTTTCTTGTTGGTTCTAAATTGGAATACAGTTGTTTTCGATACTCGCTCAGCTTATTAATTGTTGGTTCGGCTCTTTCTCTCAATACGATCCTATTCTTCAACATCAAATCTTCCGTTCTGAAGTGTACCTGATAAAAATGTTCTATATCCTACCAAGAAATTTGAATACCTCGCAAATGTTGTGGCCTGAGCCTATATTCCATGCCAGCCGCATCATATTTTGTTTCGATTTTTGTAGAATTACGTTATCCGATGGAAATTCGAATAGAGTGAATTGTTTTCCCGTGTTCTCACAGTTGGAAACTGCACAAACTTGCATCTTTCTCCTAATTCTCTCAATTTGTCAAACCTTTGAAATTTATGTCATGTACGTCCGTGTACTGTCAGTTCCCGCTTTTTCCATCAATTTATTTGTGGTTATGTCTCCTACTGCAGAAGTGGCAGATGGAATTTTAATTAGAAATGACAAGATTTCATAATGAAAACTATATGAGATTACTATTTACCTGAAAAATCATATTCCTTCGTCTGCATTTTTTGAGCATTGTACAACAGCACAATGATTAAACTTTCTTGAATTATTGAAAAGCGCAAAAAACACGATTCGTGTGCCAAAATATTTTGAAAAACTATTTCAATACTTTGATTCTTCTGTAAACAAATGAAAAAAGTGAGGTTGTGTTTCAATATTTTACCTCCAGGGTCGGTCATCGTCAATGAACTCAATATAAACAACTGGAAGGGAGACGGCCGTACTCTCGAATAGCACAAAGTGTGTCAGGGGCAGCTGCAACAAAGATAGCATGATTTACGGTAACTTGTCTCTTTCCTACTCGCGTTGTTTAATGGTGGATTGGTGTTTACGTTTTCTTTTATCAAATGATTAGTACTTTAGATTTTTTTCTCTCATCGAAACAGGCAAGAAAGTGAAGACATAAGTTCATTGTCTTTGTTTATGTGAAATATCCATTCATTTGGCGTGTTTTGTTTTATAAAAAGGACTGAATTTGTTGGTGTGAACACTGTGAACTGATTGTTGAGAAGATTGTGATAAACAATGGTGATTTATTGTGCAAAGATGCAAGAACGAGCAAGACAAAAGGACATTGTGATTCCATGGGTAAGTTGAATATTGTTCAGATTTTTGGAAAATATAGTTTTTGAAATGATCATCAGGTGAATAATGTTCCCAGTTCTCAGTTCAAAAACTATACCTATATTATTTGTAAAAGTTGAATACTTCCATGATTTTCCATAAACATATTAAATAATATTATTTGTTGCAGTTTTCCATTCAGACATTCTTGAATTATGGATTAAGGCAGTTCGTAGAGAGAGTTGGACTCCATCTAAAACCAGTAAGCTTTGTGGAGAGCATTTCCTGCCAACTGATTATTTATTTAGACATACCAGATACTGCTAGGTTATTGAAACTAGATGCTGTACCCAGTATATTTCCATTTCCTAAGCATTTGTTACCAAAAAATACTGATCCTTGAAGGAAAATAAGAAAACTCATAGGTACCTAGTTGATTAATAATGAAAAAAAAAGTATGTTTGAACCTCTTCAAAATAAAAAAATAGCTAGTAATTTATTTTCAGGATGCATCTGTGGAAATTCATAACATTGGGTCCTAAGGAAGATGTTTCTCATATTATGGACTCTACCTATGACTTCCAGCTCCCAAGTTTCGAAGTTCATCAATAAAGAAACCCAAACTGTTCCATTGGAGAAGGATATTGTATTGAGAATTGTATTTTTTTAATTTCTAATAGGGATATGTTTGTTAGTCAATACCATTCAAGAACCTCATTTCAAATTTTTCCTATCGTTTTTCTTTTTCTTCTGACTGTGCTATGACATTGTGCTTCGACATTGTGCTTCGACATTGTGCTTTGCTCACCCTGTACAATATATTGTGACATTTTTAAGTCAATAAAAAAATCAATAATAATTTTTTAATGATAATTGATTGCAACATTTTCCTTTTTCCTATATGAAAATTTTTATTTAATCACGTTTACTCTTAAATAGAAGCAAAACACGAAAAAATATTTCAAATAATGCGAGCGCTTCCCATTAGCGAACATGAGATAGAGAGAGATAGGTATCCGTAAACACTGCGGGTTGCCTGAACAATATTTTTGCCTCATTCGTCGTTCCAGTTGTTTATATTGAGGCCAGTGGGGTGGATCAACACATTGCCCTCGATCGACTTACCGGTACTCGTATTTCGACGTCTCCGGATAGCCGGCGGTGAGCTCGAGAAAGACGGAGAGGTAGTTGCCGCGCACCGCCCCGTTTCCCTCGGGATATACTTTGAGGCGCCAGCAGAGGCCGTTGCAGGGCAGCGGATCGGAGTAGACGGGGTCGGACTTGCTCTGCAGGCGGGAGAAGGCGGCCATCACGAAGGTGGCCGTGTCGTACGAGGGAACTATCTCGCTGGAAATGACACCGCGATTCATTCATGAATAATTAAACCGTATACGCTAACAATCCTAAACGGCAAACACCTATAAATGAATTAAATCGTGAATGGTGGGGATAACTCTGCGGAATCATTGCCGGAGAATTGATATCCTGATATTTTATATATCTAATGAATCGGGATTTCTATAAATCTGTGTACGTGCGTTAACACTCTGGCTGCCGGGACCCTGTTTTTCTATCTCTCTATTACAGGCTTTGTCAGTCATATGTGACCGACGGTGACTTATAAAAAACGGTGCTTTGCAGTGATTTTCAACCGACAGTATAAGTTTCAGTTCGAGCCGTGTCATGCGAAAACGACCGACCGACGATGCATTCAAATCTCCATTAGATCTGAACTTAACTTGTGTGATTTTTTTGTGGCGCTCACTATGAAATTTATATCTACAATAATGCCTCAAAAACGTTCATTGTAAAAAATGTGAAAAAACTCATGAACATATCTGTATCTAATTATTGTTGGAATGGGTTTTCACATGACATCCAATGCAAATAGAAGGCATCTCTTGGCAGCCTTCTCAATGCGTCCGCACTCTCTTCACCTCATTTTTAGCCCCCTTCCTTGTACATATTGTTTCACGAGATTTTCTTAACAAATTAAACAATTTTTCTAGCTCTTGGTGTTTTATCATTTTGCTGTTATAGCAAATGTTCCAACCTCTGTGAGTTTATCGATAAATTGCATTGTCTGGCCGCGTCGGTCGATTTTAGCTGACACCCTTTTATGCTCTTCTGTACACCAGAACAACTTTACAATGTCTGAGCAGTAATATGATGCTGATCACTCAGATGTCCCCTGCTCTGAAAACTGCGTGGCCTGACGCGTTCGAACCAATGAAAATGCATCGGCTCAGCGCGAGATCAAGCTGTCGTTCAAAAATGACTGACATGACAGTCAGAAAGAAAAGAGAGATCAAAGATCTATGATCATCACTGGTGTTGCCGGGGTAGCAACCTAGTGGGATTTCTCCCCCCCTCTCACAAGACTCCAGGGCGTAACTGCCGGCCTCCTGTCTTCCGACTTATACCGACAGCGCCCCAAGGGAGAAATGGAGGATTTGGATACGCCAAATCAGCGCGCTAGAGTCATCTCCGTTATGTAACGGCATGTTCTCCTGCTACCATTTTATTATACCAATGGTGAGGCCGTCTAATAAGATAGACTACTGGCTCTGCAGTGTCAGTGCCCGAGCAGATACGCTGCTCACCCGCCGAGGCAGGCAAGATTTTCTCCCACTTGACCCATAGTGGGATTCTTCTTTACCTCCTCTACCGTAGTCCGGTGGTGTTTTTTGGAAACCGCTGCCCCCTGGAGTCCAACCCAATTGGTGAGGCACCAGGCCGTATGTACGGCCTGATGGGGCTATCCTCATCACCCCAGGTACCCATGTCAACAAGATTCCTCTTGTTACGTTGGATGGGTCGCCGTCGCAAAAGGCTTTCGCCTAATTGCTACTCATGTTGACAAGAATCCTCTCGTCCCGTTGAATGAGTGATTGTACGATGACTTTTACACGTTCCTCTACCTCGTTAACAGGAGAGGACCCGGCTTTACCTATGATGCCTGGCGATAGGATCGCTTGGGGCTACCCTCTCCCTGACGAACTAAGGCACAAGGTACACCAAAGTTCCAGATTTCGCTGAGCAAGCCCAGCTACCCATGTCGACCAGAATCCTCCAGTCCCGTTTGATGGGTATCCGTTCGCGGCCTTTCACACGTACCGCTACCATGACAAGAGTGAGGACCTCAAACTTTCAACCAGCGGTGTCTGGAGTCACCTGAGGCTACCCCCACCCCGACGCCGTGAGTACATGGTGGGCCCACGGCCAGACATGACAGTCAGAGTGTTGATGAATTAACTCTCGCGTTATATCATGCCTGATTTACTGAAGCTTCATATGTTGTGAGTTGTATAGCTATCTGGTTCGCCATTTAGTTGTTCAAAGATTGTCTGCCTCTTACGATCTAGAGCCTCACTATCACACAGTATGTGTGGTACTGTTCTCGAAACCATTTTTTTGAGGTGTTCTTTGATTGGTGCGTGGCCAGCATGATATTTTCAATGAACTGCATAGTTTTCGAATTATCAGCGAAAAAGTGAATGTACTTTTAATAAATCTCTGTGCCTCTTCCCTCTCAAACATGAAGTCGGAAACATTGGGATACACGAAAGTTTATCAACAATCTAGCTGTGAACAACCTAAACAAATAATTTGAAGAATGTGACAGGCACCTTGACTCCTTTATACATTGAGATTACTCGTTTTATTCCGAAGGTAGTTCAGAATCAGGGATACTTATTACTCACCTGTGAAAATCTGCAGGAACAGGTGCTGTGACGAAACTTGTCATAGGTTTCTTTCTCATAGTATTGATCATTCTAGATAATTCATTGCTCTTCGAAATTAGCTCGGATCTTGTAGACGTGTGCAACTGATGTTCTACTTCGTGAAGTAAATGTTCTAGCTGCTCTGTTTCCTAGTAATAATGATTGAAAATCAGTACAGTATTTCTAAAAAAGTTGAAATACATTGAAATATTTTCATTGACCTGTGTTAAAGAGTCTTTCTGTCCCATTAATGTCAGGAGTTTGGTTTTTAGTTGCGAGTCCAATCTCGTTATCATCAGTTCCACCGCATTTCTGATTTCTCTGACCCGTTCATCCTTTGCTGATCTGACAGACTCCACATTCCTCTCAACTTCTTGTACGATGCTTACTAGTTCCAATAATCTCTCAAAAAAATATTAATCACAAAACTGTATTCTACTTTATCAAATGACTTGAAGACATTGGGTCAAAGTAAACTTCTGTCAAACTATGTTTGATATGATGAATTGAACGGAGTATGATGAGTTGAATATCTTTCTGAATGATTAGATGACTTTCTCGTTCTTAAGTTTATCTATTTATTATCCATAGTTTCTTATGAGATGTTTATTTGACTTTCTATACATATATGTTTTTTATAATCGTGGAAACCATATAGTTGTTTCTAAGATCAAAACATTGATCTCAGAACAGATGTATGGTGTCTATGATTATTTGATTCTAGAATCGTTGTATAGGTTCTGGGATCAAGGTCTTGATCATAGATCGTCATATGATTTCGGTATCGATTTTGTACATGGAGAATCTGGAATCAGCAAGAAACGGGATTCTTGAGCACGGGTCATTGATCGATCTCAGAATCAGGTGCACTGATCCTTGCACCATTTGATATTAGATTCTCTCACCGTTTGATCTCAGAAATTGATTCTTGCGATCTCTGATTCGTGCACTATTTGATCTCAGGCACGGGTTCTGGGATCATCGATTCTCGCACCATTTGAACTCGACTTTTACAGATCTCAGGCACGTGATCATCATACCATTCGATTCTTGATCTCGGAAATTGCTTCTAGAATCTCAGCTTGAGCACTACTGCTGGTCACAGTTACATGGACTCTGAGATCCTTGATTATTTTACCCACTATATTGTTCGCATTATTTAGGATACTGAGATCATACCTACAATAATAATGGTAATTTTATAGGTATTAGTACTAACTAGACATTCGATTGGTTGTAAGGGGTAATGTAAGGGGTACTGAGATCGTACCTACTATGATCGATTTTTTAGGTACAAATAGTAACTGGACGTTCCTTTGTTTGTTGAAGTATCCAATAAAAATATTAATTGCGAAATAGTGAATTTGTTTCACCCTATATGTCTGAGGCGAGATTATTCGAGTGCTAGCACTTTTTTATTTCCATATTATGTTTCGTATTCAATAACTGAAATACTCGGATAGCTTAGACGTTTTTGAACTTACGACGATGAAAGTTCAGTACAGTTTTTGTTCAGAATCAAACTTCCTACCGATTAATAATATTGTAAACTGGGTGTTCCATTTAAAATAATTGAACTTTTTGACATAACTCGTAAATGCGATGTTAGAATTTTGTTACGTTTTCATCACCGTGATCAGTGGAAAAATCACTACTAGTTTGTTCAAAAATAATCAAATTATCAATAGTGCCGACTTAAATTTGGAAACCCTATATAGTTGTAATATATTATTGAGTTTTTTATTTCATTCACTATTGGTGCAACTAATACTCCGGGGAATAAGTTGAATAAAAGTTACGTCATTCGGGCAATATACTTTCTCCACTGAAATATGCCCAATGCAAGTAGGCCTACCACTATAAAATAGGTGGCGCCCGAGTATATTAGTTAATAACCCGAGTTGGGGCGCTAATCAACTTATCGCAGAGTAGATATTGTTACAATATCAAAATGTATGTTATGAAATTTTCTTGAAGAAAGCATATTTTTCGCCAACTTCTTTTCTAGATACAAAACATCTCACGTTGTCAATAAAGTTTGGAAAGTATGTACTAGTCTTGTAGATATGCTTTCATTTTTGAGCTCTTATACGAATTGTTTGGAACAAAGATTGGAAATGTGTCGACTTTGATACATGCAACAATGCCATGCTACAGGGTGATTGATGTAGCAGTTATATACAAATACTTTATAAGTGTTTGAATAAAAATGTAAAAATGGTGCCTGAATAAATTTTGGGTTTCGCACTCCGTCTGAACATTTTCCTTGCATGTCCTGTGAAAATTAAGTGATTATTTTTGAGTTATCAACATTAAAAATCGACTTGTGTACAGAAAAATCCAACTGACAGTGTCACCTTTTGTTTCGGAAACATAGTGAATTCGTTTTATAGAAGGTGTTATATACAAATACGTATTTGAATAAAAAAAAAAGTGAAAATCACTGATGTCTTAATAAATTTTGGGACTGTGAAATTAAGTATTATTTTTGAGTCACAAACCTGAAAAATCGACTTCTGCATAGAAAAATCCCACTGAAAGTTTCACCATTTGTTTCGGAAACATAGTGAAATTGCTTTATAGAGAGTGTTTTATACAAAGACGTGTTTGAATCACTGATGCCAGAATAAATTCTGGGACTCTGTCTGAAATTTCCTTCTGTGAAGTGATTATTCTTGAGTTACCAACCTGAAAAGTCGACATCTGCATATCCAACTGAAAGTTTTACTTTTTGTTTCAGGAAAATTAATTATTGAATTTGCTTCGAACAAGTTAGAAGGAGGATTTGGAGTAAGTTAACAATTCAATTTGATAAAATTGGAGTGATTAATAATTTGGTTTGATAGGATAACACACCAATCGTACTTTTTGACGAAGACGTACCAAATCAATGTACCTCACTGGGAGTTGCCAACTTAGTAGAGTTACAATGGATTATTAGGTATTGAAGAAGAGATGGAATTTTTTGTGATATATGCAAAGCGTAGGTATGCACATGACCCGATTATTGTCAGTGGAATGATTTGAATAAAAAATTTTGATTAATAACACTTGTATAACAGATTATTGAAGTTGCAATAAATATCATCAGTTGTATGGTTATGTGGACAATAAGTGGTTTATACAGGGTGTTTCCAATTTTGGAGCAATCCTTGAAATGGGTGGGTAATAGAAGACGAAAAACGACACAAAATGGAAGGATACGTTTTTGCAAAAAAAAAATTGTAAGATATTGAATTTTGAAATGTTAGTCCAAAGTGACCCAACTTTCTATGAAAACTGATCAGACGCGACGATAGAGTTCCGTATAGCGGTCATCGACCGACGGCGACTCGTTATGGTCAAGGGCATGTTTTGTATACCGGGTGGCTACGGAAGTATTGCCTACGGAATATCTCAGTTATTGTATGAAGTAGGTTTGTGAAATTTGGAGCGTCGATATAATGACATAAGAGCTAGAATTTGAGCACATTGACATGTCGAAGTTAACTTCCGGTCTGACCGGAAGTTACATCAACTTTCTTATCTCAAATGAAAACCCTATTCTTTTTTCTTTTTGCTTTATTCAGCATTCAATTCCCTTTCTAATGACATATCACAAGTTGGTATCTAACCAGAAACTAGATCAGAAAAAAATTATTATTGAAATTCACCGAGTAGGCCGTGGAAGCAAAATTAAAGCCAAAAATTGAAAAGTTGGCTATGGAAACCATACGTCACTTGATAACAGTTGCTTCTACTGTGATATTTTATTTTCATTCGTCGGCGTTATAAAAAGCCGCCAAAAAAAATAACCATTCCTTTCTAATGATATAATAGAAAGTCATTTTTTGAAATGAAATACCAAAAAATTCAATTATTATTGTTTTTTTCCCAATTTTTCCAATATTTTTTTGGCGGCTTTTTATAACGCCGACGATTGAAAATAAAATATCACAGTAGTAGCAACTGTTATCAAGTGACGTATGGTTTCCATAGCCAAATTTTCAATTTTTGGCTTTAATTTTGCTTCCACGGCCTACTCGGTGAATTTCAATAATAATTTTTTTCTGATCTAGTTTCTGGTTAGATACCAACTTGTGATATGTCATTAAAAAGGGAATTGAATGCTGAATAAAGCGAAAAGAAAAAAATAGGGTTTTCATTTAAAATAAGAAAGTTGATGTTACTTCCGGTCAGACCGGAAGTTAACTTCGACATGTCAATATGCTCAAATTCTAGCTCTTATGTCATTATATCGACGCTCCAAATTTTACAAACCTACTTCATACAATAACTGAGGTATTCCGTAGGCAATACTTCCGTAGCCACCCGGTATTGTGGGGTTTGCATGATTACTTGTGATTTGAAGGAATTTCATCCTGGGAGAATTAGCAGAAGAATTTTTTTCAACAGAATTTTGATAATAGTGCCTTTGAGCTGTGACAGATTCCTGTGTTCACATTACGAGTTTTCAAGTGTAGAATGCATCACAATATCAAACTGAAAAAAATAGATGCAAGGAAAATAATGCAAGTATTCGACAGAAAATATCAAAATTAATGTTATCCAATAATATGTTTAGTGCCAATTGACAATCTACCTTATTCACATTATTTCTATTTCACAACTAGCTTTGTTCGATTCTTAACCAATCAAAACCATGATGAAAAAAAATTAGAATCCAACTCCCGGAATCGCCTGAGGAATTATGCCATTAGCATAAGAGCATTAGAGGAAGTAGAATATACAAAATATGAATTTTGTTTTTCAATCCATGAAAAGTAATCGATTTTTACCTACATTCTATGAAACAGAAAAACATGAGACTATTTCATTCAATGATGTCAATTAGTCAGAGAGAGAGAGAGAGAGATCTCTTAGAGACATACGGGTTGCCTATTATAGAATTTGCCTGATTTTCACCACAAAGGATGAAAAAGTTCTAGTAGATGCTAGAGGCAATTTCAGTGTATGTATCCCACATTCAGTCATCGTAGTTTTCTCCGAAGACTATCGAAAAGTGATTTCGAACATGAAACAGGAATTGGCGTTGATTCGAAGCAATGATGACATCGACGGGACACACAGTTTTGATGTGAAGGAAATTCCAAAAGTACACATTGACAAGATATTCTGGAGAGTGCCTCACGTTTTGGTGGTTATTCCACAACAATTGTTCTACACTGAAATGGTAGAAAAAAATCAAGATATATTTCTAGAATTCCGAAGTCGAGAGCTAATGCCCTACATCTACTGAAATGACATGGCTTGTCAAAACGACAAACCTGTTGGAAACGTCACGTCACCTCATCATTGTCGTCCAAACACAAAAAATATATAAAATCGGACTCGAGTAAATTCCATGATTGCGAATTGATAAATATTCGAGTTTTCTTGGATAGTGGCAGATACCCATATAAATACCTATATCTGAATTTCACTGGTAATGAAATTTCTCAATTATATTCCATGTTCGCAAATTCCTGACCATCGAATTATGGATTCAATAAGGAACCTATATTTTCATTGAAGGAGTTTATAGAGAATATCCCTTTGGCAGTGTAGTAGTCGCACAAGATTCATAGTTTATTTCTGCTGGCAAAAAAACATGAATTGTTCCAGACAGACTCTTTACTCTTCTTGGTATCTTCTGATAATAATTCGCTAACATGATTACGGATTTCCGTAGTGCAAGTTGACCCAAAACGAGACATTTCAATTTTTGAGTGACTGATAGGTATGTCAAAGTTTGACAACCGTAGCACTCTTATGCTGGCGAACAGAATAGCCGCTCATATTGTTTGTTTACCTAAATAGCCGCTGATATCGCATATCATGTGACTTCAATCAAGAAATTTCATAGGTCCAACCAAGTGTGAATAAAATAATCGTTAATATCTGTAATCTGCTAACTTAAATTGCAAATATCTTTTTATACTTTATTGCTTGATTGATACGAATTTTTTTCTTGGAAAATAGTTGAAAATGTATTCAACAGAACTAAAAATAATAGCTCAAATAATACCCAAAGAAGCTCTAAAATGAGGTTTGTAGTTATATATGCCAAGAAAAATCCACACTCCACAGTCATTGGTAAAAAATCCATCTATCACAATGGAATGATACAATACAATTCACTACCAAATAACTTGAAGCTGATTAATAGGATTGAAAAATTTAAAAGAGAATTCAAGAAACATCTACTCCTGTAATATTGACATCTTATCTCATTTTTATAGTTTTCTTGTACAACTACTATAGTTTTCAATTGTGTACCTAACAGCTGAGTCAATTGAAGATCATTTTCATTTGAACTTGAAAAAAAAAAAGATTCTTTTTGAGTGTGAGTCTTATTTTACTGTCTTCTTTATTTTATTTTGTCAAATATATTTATGTATTCACTATGTTCCCTGCTATAAACAAATATTGTTTCTTGGGAATAATAAAGTTGATTGATTGATTGATTGATACTGGAAGGCGTGATTTTGAACTTTGGCCTAGGGCGAAAATAGCTGCTAATCCGGGCCTGTTCGCAGAGTGGATCTATTGTGATTAGAATAGGGTTTGAAACAGCCAAAGCGATTCCAGACAACACTTTATCATTCTGTCCAATCCTACATGATAAAATGTTCAGCTACAGTCCTTTGACAAAAAATATTGATCAAATGTGAAATATATGCTCACACCCACTTCTTTTTTCAAAGGTAACATTCAGGAAGTTGATAATTGCATTTGTCTTCATCATCCACGCAATGAAGTCATTAAGTATGAATATCCAAGGGTTCCCTTTACCCCAAAGAACGATCAATTTCAAATGGTTATCAAATCAACGAATAATTATTCAAAGCAGCCATTCCCTTCTGTGCACTTCAAGAAAGAAACAAAAACTAGTTCGTTGGTAAGAACAACATTTCCATGTGCTAACATACTCTTCTGGATTAATAGACTATCAGGAATTGCAGAATATACTATCATAACATCTCATGGGTGTTGACTTAGTTTATGTAAAAGGACACAAAAAATGTGACTCTTTAAATTCGATGCTAACTTGATCTAACAGACCCAAAATAGTCAATATCGATCAATCAATGACCCGTGCTCAAGAATCCCGTTTCCTGCTGATTCCACATTCTCCATGAACAAACTTGAATCAAATCATCATAAAAATCATACATACAGGGTGTTAATTAATTGAATGTCGTAATACAAGGTGTGAATCCTCGGATGATTTTAAGAAGAAAAGTTTATATCAACATGTAGAGTCTCTGGATCGTATTAGTTAGTTCGGACACAGAAATGACAACTGTTAGTGTTTTTGAATGTTTATATTCAATAAGTTACACACCTTGCATTATGATAAGAGCACTATAGTCGTTCCGCGCTTTTTTAATTCAAAATTATTTGAATTTGACAATATATTTCATGAATGTCAGAATTGAAAAATATAATATGGTGTGCTACGACGCATCTTCGTATACTTCACTGCGAGTAAACTAATTGCTTGCAGTCTGAGCTCGCAGTTATATATGAATTCGTCCGAGTCGCCGTGATCAATAGGTTCTCTCATTACGCGTTCGGGTTTTTTCATAATCGTCCTGGGACGGTCCTAGAACTATTTTGTTTGTCATATATTTTTTTTTATTCTAACGTTTATTCATTTATTTATTTATTTATTTATTTATTTATTTATTTATTTATTTATTTATTTATTTATTTCAGTTATTGCATTACATTCTCTTCTTCATTGATACATTTCATACAAATAATATAATATATAAAGTATAATTAATATTTTTTCAATATTATGGAGTTAGTACATCTATTTAATAGTAATAGTTCTTCGTCGTCAGGAAACAGTGGTGAAGGAGGTCCTTGCTGAAGTTAGTGAAGTTGTTGAAAATATTGTACCTATAATCCGATAATTCCCGAACTTTTGTTAAATAAACCGAAACATGAGAAATGATGTTGAGGAGACTTCGCCATTGTATTTAGATACAGAATTCATTAAACATTATTAATTTCAGGTGGGTGTCGAAATTCATATAGGTACAAAGAGACAACATGTTGAAAATCTAGCAACAAATGCTATGATGAAATCTACTTACCATTCCTCCAAAGAGGGTTTCCAGAGATAATGTGAATAGACTCAAAAGAGGGTTTGAAGCTTCAGAATATTATTCTTATGAAGATATTGTTTTCAAACTATTGCCTTTTTGGCAAATTCTTAATAGAGATTATGTTCTCAGAGGTTCTCTACTGACGCGTTCGGGTTTTCATAATTTGTGAACCGTTTTGGAACAGTCCTAGGATTCCAAACGACTGCGCACTAGTTCTGCGCAGTTCGAGAACAATTCTTGAACAGTTCTAAAATCGGAACCCGAATGAACCTAATATTAGTGAAAGTATAGACTCGCAATGACGTTATGCGCAGAAAAGACTAATTCAAGATACCTGAGTAGCATACCATGGATAAAGGCACTCCTAACCCTACCTTCTTCTCAGCTGCGCCACCTCGTCCTTGATCCTGGTCACGTGCTGATCATACACGTCGTCGAGCGGCTTGAAAGCGTGCCCGGAATGAGTGCCACCCCAGAGGGCGCACCGGTGGCAGATGCAGCCGCGGCACGTCCAGCAGTACACCTAGCGACAGCGGCATTGTGGATAAACTCCCAAAAGCCGTGTCTCACGGTCCAACAGTTTGATCAAATTTGTTTGATGTGACGTCATTCTTGTTTGACTCAAATCGTTTGAAATGTCAAAAATATTGGTTAGGTTGGTTTTCTAAAATGGGGAAAATCACAAGGATAAATTGAATAAAAATTCATTATATGGTAAGTATTTTGTGTTGTATTTGTAATACGAAGTGATTTCCAAAAAAAGAGGGAGATATGTACAAGTTAATGGCTTCAAAGAAGAAATATTGGTAGAGGAGTCCTACCTATGATTTTTGATGAATTCAGACTGGAATATATCCCATAGTAAATGTCAAAATTGACTAAGAATGGATGAGAGATGTTTCAGATTTTTATCAATCCATATAGCGTGAACGTATACCTGTAGAAATGTGGTGAGATCATAACAAAGTATCTAGTCAACCAAGCATGAATTTGGGATTGGAGCAAGACAAAAATATTCCATTAATTATCCGAAATGGTCCTCAGTCCAATTACCAGGACAGGTATTTTTTAAGTATTGATAATATCATTGAGTATTCAACTAGTGTAAATAATCAAGGATAATATCAACGATAGTATTTCTTGTTGATTCTTGAGATATAAAATAATGATCAATGAAGAAAACATGAAATCAAACATCCTAACCTTATTGTTTGATCCAACATGACAAATATTTAGAACAAGTTCTAAATTTCAGCTGCTGTTTGACGTGACTTCACTGATGACATCACAGATCTGTAGTTTGATCAAATTGTTGGACCGTGAGACACAGCCGTAAAACGATTTTGCGATTGAGGCGTTACCATCGAGATTAGAAGGCCAGCAGACTCTGACGTAAACAGTTCGTTACGTCACCTAAGAGAGGCCAGTGTTTTACCGCTTGTCGACTAACGCGTCAGTTCGTGTTAATTCATCGGTGATTCACGTATGTTTTTGAAGCGGTCCCGAATTCTTTTGTTGTTCATTCATCAAAATAACAATACCTTTCAAGTGTTGCGTTCCCTTTTGTCGGGGGAGTAATGTGGGTTGTCCAAAAGTTCATGCTTTTAGTTTCCCGTTGGACGAGGAACTATCGAAAAAGTGGGTATATGCAATTCACCGCGAGGATTTTACTCCAAGTACAGTAGTAAACAGAACTTAATTTATAATGATGAATTGATGATAGAAGACAATTACTCTCTCATAAAAAGTATATGAGTAGAGGAAAAAGAGATAAGCTTTGATTGTGCAGTTAGTTTTGTATTCGTATATTATATTCAACAAAATCATCTCTGAATTCGAGGAAGTTTTCTTGAATGTTCATAATATACGGGCATTTTTAACTCAATACATCCTCAAATTTCTTTCTGAAAACGGTCATTCGCCTCGTGGCAATGAATGCAGAATTCATTCCAATGATCAAATTGCAACTATCATATTAACATGTACTACAAACACTCTACTTAAAAATGTAAAACTGCATTTATCATGCGATGGTTTTTTTTTCTAAAAACACGAATTTGATAATGAAAATGTGAACAAACCATTATTTATCAAGATATTTGACTATAAAGTTACACATTTCACCTTCTTTCTTGCCTGTCTTCTGGATGGCATTTAGAACAATTTTCTCTTCTTTTTTCATCATACTGGACAATTTATATCTATCACAATGTATGACACATTTTTTTCTATTATATGATTCAACTATAAATATGATTTTCTTGAGATTTATCCATATTTAGTGAAAAGAAGGAAGAATATCATTTAAAATGATGGCGTGTGTAATGTCATTCCAAACCAATCTATTGACATTTGACATCTCGTATTTTGATTGACTATCTCTGGAATGCTTGTTCGCTAAATATGAAAAACTCGCCATAAAAATCATGTTTCCTGTTGAGTTTTCTATATAAAAATGTGTCATCGAAGTACATTATGAGTATATAAAGTGTCCAATGACAAAATGAGAAGAGCAAGTAGCTTTAAATGCCCCCAACACAAGGGGAGAAAGAAGGCGAAATTTCGAACTTTTTCTTGAAATATCTCGATAAATAGTGGTTTGTTCACATTTTCATTATCAAATTCGTGTTTTTCAGACAAAAATTCGTAAGTACCGAAAATAATTCTTTTCTACATTCATGCAATAAGCAGAACTTTATTGAACTATATTTAGTGGAAAAAGAAGTTCTTTATTGCACTCATCTGTCATTCTACTTCAACGTGCTGTCATCATGACAAACATTTTTTATATTGCAGCTGTGGTTATAGAAACGTCATATATTCATATTGAAAATTGCACCAATTGTTCATTCACTTTCAACATTGAGGGTAAAAATGAAGTTTGAGTTAAATTGTTCGTAACGCATTAGTTCGCCTGTTTCAATGCAAGTCGATATTAATATTAAAGTATTCAAGTTGCGTTTTTCATTTTCCTACACCTAGTGCCGCACCTCAATAAATCATTTTTTGCTTTTTGCATGAATGTAGAAAAAATGTTGTATGCAATTCGTGCAAAAATTGTTTATTGCACTTGTTGCATAAATAACTATTAGAAAAATAAACATAGCATGATAAATGCAGTTTACCCTTAAAAATAACTGTTTCAAGTCTAACGATCAATTGGGTAAAAAAATCCAACAACAGGAAATTGAAAACACTTACTGGCCAATTTTTTAGGTAATAGGAATTCTCCAAGATAAATATAGGTAATTATAACAAACGGCATTTCATCAAAATTTTCTTTCGATCAATCACTAGGCGTGAAGTTTATCTTCACAATTTTTGCCGATATATTTAATTCGAATGGGTTGTTGTAGGTGGGTATTTGTCTTTTATTCTAGTCTTTGCTTTGAAACTCAGTTTTTCCATAATAAAATCGAATTGGATGCGAAAAAGAGCTCAGTTGACGAAGGGCATCCTTTTTTAACCGGATGCCCTTCAAAAAAAACAACAAAATTGGCTCAATAATGATCTAAAACTAAAATTGAAATACGCGGTCGCCTTAAAGCGCCATAAGCGCTTGTCGTTTCGAACCGTTGGTTAGGCCTCACTAAGGTGACGTCACCACGGAGCATGCAGGCCTTATTGTCTCGATGGTAACGATTGAGGTCTTTTCTATCTTGAACGAGAGAGAGGAAAGTTCTCTCCTCTTCCATCTTTTTCTGCAATGATACCAACGTAGCTGCATTTAAATATAGAGAGGTCCGATAAATCTGTCCTTGTTTAACGTCTACTCTGCGCCACTGAACTATTTTTGATCTTATAATGATGTGACATGTCTATGTCATAAATGTCATTGACTGATAACCTTTCGAATTTTTTAAATGAAATTTCGAATTATATCATACTTATTTTGATATCATTTGTTAATATCGTTGAATTTGACCTCTGCTGAATACAAAAATAGTTCAGTGGCACAAACTAGATGTTAGACAAGGACAGATTTATCGGACCTCTCTATGTATATTTCAATGCGGCTACGTTGGTATCATTGAAGAGAAAGATAGAAGAGGAGAGAAGTTTCCTCTCTCTCGTTCAAGATAGAAAAGACCTCAATTGGTGATACGAGCCTCAAATTCTCATCAGTGTTGGTGTTAGAGTGACTAAAGTGCTCAAAGAATTAAGTGGACCTCGAATATTTGGCGTCTCAAAATGCAAATCTACTGGTTTTCAATCGTCACCAGCGTCTAGAGCCAGGGCGCAACAGATCAATCGTCGACATTAGCGGAGGGAAACGTGAAGGAATCACTTGCAAACATTCCATAAGTAGAATTAAAAAATAATTCGCTAATAAATATAAATTATCAAAATTGTACAAATTGTACATTTACTTTCACTACTAATGGTAAGAATAATCTTTGAGTTGAAAAGTTCCTAATATATTAATAATAATGATAATAATAATAATAAACGCTTTTATTGATAGATAGCAAATAACAGGACATAGCAAGAAAAAATAATAAACAGAAAGATTACATTGAATATCTATCAAGAGGCAGAGTTAGCTCTTAGACGTTCCTGAGAGGAACGAGAAAGTGCTTTCTTCCACTCAACCGTAAAGAACCTAAAACTAAACTTAAATACTAGGATGCAGTTGTGAGCATGCAAGCTACACATTTCTGTACAAAATTTCTGAAAAAAATTATTATGATCATGAAATAATAGGAGATGCGAATCCGAACATACGAACGTATGTGGTGATGAGCGGTAACAATGATAAAAAGTATGCTGAACCTTAGTTAGAGGCGGAGATTGCCTGACAAAAGTGATTTCTTTAATTTAAGTTTGAAACTGCTCACCTCAGTGATTTTGAGTTCTTCGGGAAGCCGATTGTAAAGCCGGGTTATCATAAATGAAAATGCCGATTGATATTGTGCGGTGTTGTGCAGGGGTGGAGTTAATAAAGATTTAAAGCGCGTATTAAGGTGGTGAACGTCTGTGCGGAATGTGATTTTTTGGTATAGGTAAGGCGGTTTCCGTGTAGTTATGATTTTGTGGAACAGTGTGCACGAATGAAGAATTCTTCTCTTTTCAATATCAAGCCACCCAAGCTCATACAAAGGTCTGGAGATGTGATCACGTCTACTCAACCCGCATATCAGACGCACGCAAGAGTTCTGGATTAGTTGTAAACGATGTAGATCTCTTTTAGTAATAGCAGGTCCGTAGATAACATCAGCATAATTCAAGTGCGAGAGAACAAGAGATTCGCATAAAGTAATTTTACTACGCTGGTCCAAGATTGTTCTATTTGTGTAGATCAATTTCAGATTACAGAATGACATGACTAGAGAAATTCAGCGATGTATCCAGTATCACCCCCAGGTTCTTAGCACAGGCAGATAAAGGGAGTATGCAGTCCTTGACTTTGATATTCAAAGAATCGATGCAACGACCGCGAGCATCTTTTTCCCAAATAGCATTGCATTAGTTCCTAACTTTCTCAATGATAATCGAAAATGCTAATCAATTATTGAATATTCTGCTATTCAACTACTCTTTTAATTTTCCTCTACTTAGTGTCACTTTAATAATAGTTATTTATACACCAAGGTAGAAAAGAATCTCTTCAGCCGAGGGGTATAAGGTCCCCAAGGTTTATATTACATTTTTTTCACCAGTAGCATTTCAATCATTTTAGTTCTGTGAAATCGAAATATGGACCTGCCTTATAAATGTGGCAAATCGAATTGAAGCACTGTATAATGTATTAACAATGATGAAAATGTCGTACTTGTACCACGAATTGCACAATCTTTGTACTATGCCGCCTCACTAACCGACAACTTTTCGCGGTGCAGCGGGCACTGGTCGCCCATGTCTGCCTCGCCGCTCCCCGTCTTGCCGCTAGTCATCACCGTGACGGATTGTAAGGAGTCGAGCTGCTGAGTGACCTCTTCCACCCACCGGCAGTTGACGAGTTCGTGGAGGTGGAGGGATGCCCTGCGAAGAAACGAATCAAATCGAAATATACTTCATTGTCCGAAGAAAAAAATCTCCTATACGGTCATAGTTTTCAAAAAACGAAAGTAAAATATAGTGTATTCCTCATTCTTCGAAAATATCATCACCTTCGAAACCTTGGTTCAACAAGAACTGCTCTGAAGCTATAGTAGCGTCTGGGGAGTATATATATACTTGCCATAAATTTCAGTATGGTGGGGGTAGTGCAGCGTTGCTAGGCAGTGCTTATTCGTTCGAATCCGAATACTAGCGCCTATAGAGACAGGAGGTAACATATACAGTGTGTCCCACTTACCATGCTCACCATGGGTATCTTTTTAACGGTGAGAGATACGAGGTCGGTTAAATGACACCAAATGTGGAGTTTGTCAAGGCCAACTATAATGTGAAAAATTATTTTGATAACAGATTTTGATCATTTTCATGTCTCCTCCGTAACTTCTTCATTTATGAAAATATTCGAATAGGAATTTCACATTCTGATGATGGCAGTTTTTCAAAGTGATTTCGAAATAAATATGAAATTTATACCAACTCTTCTAGAATTTGAGATATCAGCACCAACTTAAGTTTTTCAAATGTAGGTCATAGGTCACTATGACTTAGTTACAAATAACTTTTTTTTCTCTTTCAGATGATATGTCGCAGTTATAGTTTTGTCGTGTTGAGAACAACGGAGTTATCGTCATTTATACAAAAACAAAAAATTATTTGAAAGCCGCCATCTTGAATTTATAAATTTTAACAAAAAAATCATAATCTCCGACCTTAAAAACCCCCACTAACCAATTTTGAATGAAATCGGACCAAATCTTGTCCGGCCATCTTGGAGCAGCCATTTTCATTAATTTCAACAAAAATTTCATAATGTATTGTCACTCAAAATTGGTAAGTGGGGGTTTTTGAGGTCGGAGATCATGATTTTTTTGTTAAAATTTATAAATTCAAGATGGCGGCTTCCAAATATTTTTTTGGTTTTGTATAAATGACGATAACTCCGTTGTTATCAACACAAAACTATTACTGCGACATATTATCTGTAAGATAAAAAAAAGGTATTTGTAAGTAAGTCATAGTGACCTATGACCTAGATTTGAAAAACTAAAGTTGGTGCTGATATCTCAAATTCTAGAGCAGTTGGTATAAATTTCATATTTTTTTCGAAACCACTTTGAAAAACTGCCATCAGAATGTGAAATTCCTATTTGAATATTTTCATAAATAAAGAAGTTACGGAGGAGACATGAAAATGATCAAAATCTGTTTTTTGCCTATAAAACAAAAACGAATAGATTTTATCAAAATATTTTTTCACATTATAGAGGTGGCCTTGACAAACTCCACATTTGGTGTCATTTAACCGACCTCGTATCTCTCACCGTTAAAAAGATACCCATGGTGAGCATGGTAAGTGGGACACACTGTGTATAATCAGCGCGGCAAGTGCGGCGGGTACAGCGACAACCTGGGTTCAATGCCTGCGATGATCGGCTTTTGTTTCCATTCTGTTTTCTCAAGTGATTTTCAAAAAATTATAATTTTAAGGAAGAAGGTTCATTTAGGCCGATTAAGCAGGTTAGATAGTTTGAAAGTAGTGTCTTTTATGCAGGAGGGATAGTTTTCTTCCTCCCGGAAAAAAAGTACCGTCGTTTTAGGAAGAAGTGCATTCAGGCCGAGTAATAAGGTTAGATGGTTTAAAAAAAAGTTGTGTCCTTTCTTATGCAAGAGGGGTATATCCCTTCCTCCCTGAAAAAAAGTACTGTGGAGGTATTTACTGTTGAGTAAAAGGTTTGACAAAACAGTTTTCTTGAGTAAAGGTTTCTTTTGGCCGAGTAAGATGGTATTGTTTTCAAAAAATAGTCTCTTTTTACTTCTATGTGAATTCATGAAAATTATATTCCCTCCTTTTTGGGTTATCCTATCAGTTCAAGCGAGTTCAAGATCATTGAAGTACTTTCATCTTCAAGTTGAAGAAAATCAGCACAATCCAGCAACATTGATATGACTGACACAAGATTACGCGCCGCCGCCACCACTATTCCATTTTATGACAAATACTCCGCAGACGCAATCTCGTGACTAGAGCAGAATATGTTGGAGCCAGGAATAACTGCAGTCACACAATAAATAGATACATTGAAAGAATCAAAGAATGCCAAAATGAGATCGAAATTGATAGATTGTCCCAATGGCTCTCGTTCATTCTGGTTCCTCGCTAAAGCAGTCGGTAGGAGTCACAAAAAGTGTATTCCCACCACTCTCCAAAGCCGACTGCACATTAGTAACAACATCGCAAGAGAAAGCAAACATTTTTGCTGAGATGTTCGCACCAGCAAACTCCACTTCAGATTCCCAGGAAAGAATGCCGCCAGACATTCCACCCGTCGAAAATCGAATGCCCGAAATCGTCTTCCGTCAACGCACAACAGTCGAATTTGGCTCTCAAAACGAATAAGGCCAACGTTCCTGATAGAATTCAACCCATTCTGAAAAGGTGTGCACCAGAATTGACACCCATTCTCTGCAAATTATTTACCATCTCGTTCAAGTCGAATATTTTTCCATCTTGCTGGAAAATAGGTAGAGTCCAAACAATCACCAAAAAAGGAAACAAAAACCTGCCCAACAAATATGAGCCTATCGCCGTAGTATCTATTATCTCCAAAGGGTTGGAGAAAGCCATCAACATTGATATTATCAAATATCTGGGAAGTTCAGGAATAATCAATGATAGACAATATGGCTTTAGCCATGGAAGATCATCTTTAGATTTACTTGCCTACGTCACTCATATATGGCAAGCTCCATTAGAAAAACATAGAGAATCGCTAGTGTGCCGTTGGATATATCGAAGGCATTCGACCGTGTTTGGGACCAAGGACTCCTCCACAAACTACCATCATACGGCTTACGACCTCAGCTATGCTATCTTTTGTACAGTTTTCTATCAGGCAGATCGCTCCATGTGGTGGTGTACGAAGTATCAAATGCTAGATCTCATAACTAAGAGATCCAGCAGAGTGGTTTACTTGTAGTACCACTCTGTAGCGTAAGGGTCTCTACGTGTGACTATAGATAGCAGCGCCATACAGTGTGTGTCGCGATCTCTGGATCCTACCTTAAAGCTTTGCCACTAGATGGTACAACACTATAACTTCATGTTGTTCAATTTTGGCACCAACATTGCTCCTATACTTCATATCATTGATGTATTGGGAGTAACCACATGCCCCGTCCACAGTTTTGCAGATGATAGTACTCTCCATACTGCTTGCTCTTCCAGAATTATCATTCTCAAGAAGCTTATAACTCACGACGAAGGCAGAATCCCTGATATATCAATGTCTGGTACTATCATCTGGTACCATCATCCCCACCAAGTCCACTATATCTATGCTCAGTATCTCCATCAGCAATACTCTTTCATGGTCAAATTATGTCACATCGATCGCCTAAGCTGTATCTTGTAGTTCATATCATTATTAGAATAACCCTCTGGGAGAATAAAACAAAGGACTAATCTGGGTGTCACTAAAGCAAAAAATAGCAGACAATGAGAAATTAGACGACGACAGATACCTACTGAAGTGCTAAAAGGCCCAGCCGAACACCTATAGAATAAGGGTGGATTATAGAAAAAACACATCACTTGGAGAATATTCCAGGATACAGATACGGGAAGAAATACCAAAGAATTGCTACTGATTCTGAATAGTAGATAACTGATAGCTATAAAAAGCGCTGGTCAAAGAAAACTTGAGCAAAATGTCACTGTAAAATGATGATGAATAAACTATAGATTTCAAAAGACAGTCAATATTTTGGGTGGCACCCTGTGAAGAACTTGTACATGGCACGATCATAATGGATTGGTTCCAGTAAAGATGCAAGATACCATGGAAGGCCACGGTCAGATGAAACTAAAAGAGATTAAAATTATTAGTGACGTATACCAAACAAGAGTGTTTGGGGTCTCACACTACCACGGTCTCTCGTAGTGCTGTCCATACAAGATTCCAACGAATCCAAAAAAGGCATGATGAATCTGCCGGCGCTAGAATAACACTGAACTGAACAGGCGCAAAATTAGTTTGCAAGTAGAGAAAATAGCAAACATAGAACCCAAAGAGTCGGAAAAGAAGAAAGGTGAATGTAGTTAGGTATGGGCACTTATAGAGGATCGTAAGAGCAGGCCCATGCTACTAATTAAAGGCTATTTTTGCCATTAACGTGGCACCTTGCAGATCAGTTAGGTTGAGTTATAGATCAGATATGCTTCTTCTTTGAAAACTATCAATCAAATATCCAATAAATGAGCTCTTAAGTTAACGATTTTTCATTCAACAGCAGGAGAAGGAAGTCATCATACCACAAAATATGGTGAACAGTTTTTTTTTCGGCAATTGGAATAGCGCTCTATTCCGATTTCATGTTAGTGATTTGCACCCTTGAGTTCAACATTGCTATTATAAAAATTACCGAAAATATTAACCTCCTATTGGACTGAAAAACTCACCTGCAATGAGGGCATTGGGATCTCTGTTCGGTGAGCCATCTCCTTATGCAGACATAACAGCAAAGCTTAGAACAGTGTGGACATAGATGAGCATCTCTTAACTTTTCCATACAAATAAAACATCTAAAAACTTCAGACAATGTACATTCTGAATTTGTGTTGTAACATTCCATGATTTTGAAGTGATATAGACTGAAGAATATCGAGAATTAAAAATATTTATGTCGCTTTGACAAGTTTTTTCTGACATCGAGTTTTGATTAAATCTTCATTCAATGTTGCACCTACATGGTGAGCGCAAAAACTTGCAATAATTAAATCATTCATAACTTCATAATAATATTTGAGTATTATTTTTCTCAATGGACCAGTGTAGATGTATCACTAGTCTTATTAAAATGAAGGAAAATCTACAAATATCTGCAGTATATTTCATTTGAGAATAATGTAGATGACAACTGAACTCGCCAATTACAAATATTTGAGAAAGATTGCAGAGATTAAAGCGGTGAACGGTGAACCAATTATATATATTTCTGTAGCTATCAGAAGTACATGATGCAGAATACATTAAGAATACAGAATAACACTATTATGATAGTAATGGTCGAAATTGAGGTTTTATAGTGTTTCTATAAATCGAATCCGCGTGTCTTGCTATGATTTTAATTAAACCACAAGATAAATGATACAGTAGAACCATAGATAAAACTTTGATAGTCAACAAGTCAACTACCTAAATTTTTTTAGACTGTTCATAGTAAGCCGACCTGTCAACTAAATACTTTCATTGTTGATTATCAATAACGATATCGCTAGTGTGAACTTGTGTGGCGTCCAGACCAATGATTAGCGAGGTTAAAAGTCCACATCACACTATACGCTAAATTCTTAAGTGGAATTTACTACTTTCAGATATGGCTCGATTTCTATTCGTTGAAACGACATTGGAAATACATTTATACAGAAAAATATTGCGATGACTCGCAAACTTTTCTATGGGATTCTAAAATAAAAAAATATTCAGTACTACTATAAGGGCCAGTTGCATATAGTTACATAGGCTGATTCTTGTTAAGACCAATGGTTGAGACAGAGATGTTGTGATAACAGAGATACTTGCCTAAAAACTATTTCGAATAATTACTCAACTGACAAAATTTAAGAGCAATTGAGACAAATAGTTGTCTAACTTTGATGATGATTTTGATAATGGAGGAATGAATTCATGTGAATGTAAACTTTGTTTCCTATTTTTGTTTATCACTAGGTTTGCCTAGTATCCTTTCAAGAACCCCAAGATGTTTTCATATATTTTTGTAAGAGGAGGAAAAACAATTAATCATTTACTTGCTCTTTCGATCTGAGGGAATATTATTTTTATTATTCCAGGTCTACCGCTGTCTCTTCTCATCGGAATGAGATATGGTAAACACCTTTGCCGAAAATTCAAGAAACCTTTCATGCCAATCCATCATATGGAAGCACATGCTTTGACAGCTAGAATGCATGACCCAACAGTACAATTTCCATTTCTTGTTCTTCTAATCAGTGGGGGTCATTGCTTGTTAGCGGTTGCTGTTAGAGTTGACAAATTCTTGCTTCTAGGAGAAAGTATAGATGATGCCCCAGGAGAAGCTTTTGATAAGGTAGATGATGAAGTAGACCATAATGCTGTTTCGAGCGCTAGTTTTTCTTTAGGCCTTTATAGTATCATCCATACTAATTTATGACATATAATGTATTACAAGATGTCCCAGAAGAACATAGCATAAATTCTACAGGGTGAACTAGAGACCAAATTAGGCCAATTTCAATCAACTTACTAGAACGAAAATGCACCGTTGAGCCGTGAGAGGGCGATGAAGAAAAATTTTATTCCCAGATTTTCATTATATTTCGAAATCCTTGAAAGGTACTGTTTTGAAATTCGTAGGGCAATTTACTATAGTGAATGTGCATGGAAAACGTGTCGTACCAATTCAATCAATTTACAGGGAGTTAGATATTCCACATTCTATTCGATAAACATTAAATTAACTTTTTTTGGACGGCACTGACCATATTTTGATATTTCGATGGATGAAAAAATATCAACTGCAGTGTTTTTTATATCTTTTCATTTCGAGGTAACTAACAACATTCATTTTGGTGCTCCTCGATGATTATCATGATTTGCAAGTTTTTACCTCATTTGTGTTGAGTTTTGACCACAATAATCATGTTTATGAACTACTTCAGCATATTGTGATATTGTTGTAGGTCATCTTCAAATTTTTTTCATGTACATTCACCATAGTACTACGAATTTCAGAGCAGTACCTTTCTGTTGATCAATTGTTTTATAAAACATCAACAATATTCATAAGAAATCATTTACAAAACTATAATCATGAAAAACATAAATATGACACCAAAAATAAAATTGATGGTTGGATATCAACTGAGAAATTCTCTTCAACTTCAATGCAACAACACGCCATCCATATAGGTAAAAAAATCTGGAAATAAAATTGTTATTCATCGTCCTGTCACGGCTCAACGGTGCATTTTCGTCTGGAGGTAAGTTGATCTCAATCGCCTTATTTTGGTCTCTAGTTCACCCTGTAGAATGTATGGTACTTTGTTCTGGGACACCTTGTCTATAGCGTGGTGGATTATAAAATTTCTGCTATGTGAACAATTTTTTTTTATCGCTTGGGGCGCACGAAAGGAAATCCCTATAATGTTGTTGTTAGGAATACTTCCTCAGGCAATGAATTTCAGAGCATAGCCGTTCTATGGATGAAGGAGTTTTGATAAAGTGCTGTTCGACATCTTTCGAGGTTGACTACGAAAGGATGTGCTGACTGGGCTTGTCTAGTTCGTCTGACTGGTATTGCTAGTGAAGGGATGATAGCAGAGATTTCCAAATAACATTTCCCGTGGAAGTATCGATAGAAAAGTGAAAGGTCGCCGACCTTTCTACGGTGTTCCAATGATGTCAAAGAGTGAGTGAGTGTGGTGTCACCCACCAGGCGAATGGCTCTTCTCTGGATGGAATCTAAGAGCATCAGCGTATTTTTTGATGCTGAATCCCATATGTGGGAACAGTATTCTAGAACAGGCCGTATAAGCGTTTTGTAGATCATGAGTAGCTTTTGAGGTGTGAAGTAGCTTTTCGTACGGAACACGAATCCGAGATTTTGTGAAGCAGCTTTTGCGATGGATCTGACATGATTATCCCATGAAAGAGTGTTGCTGATGGAAATATCGAGCATAGATATGGTGGGCTTGGTGGGGATGGTGGTGCCAGACATTACAATATGGGGCATACTGGCTTGAGTTTTGGTGGCGTTGAATTCAACTAGGTTGTTGGTTCCCCAGGCTGTGATTTCAGCAAGGTGTTCATCGACAGCATTGACCTGCCTGCGCCGTGAGTTCTTAGTATGGAGGGTACTATCATCTGCAAAGCTGTGGATGGGGCAAGTTGTTACTGCCAACAGATCATTGATATGAAGAAGGAATAATGTTGATGCCAAAATTGATCCTTGTGGAACGCCGGAATTGATGCCAATGGTATCAGACGATACACCGTCCACCACCACGTGAAGCGATCTGCCTGAAAGAAAACTCGATAAGAGATGGCATAGCTGAGGTGGTAAGCCGTATGATGGTAGTTTGTGGAGGAGTCCTTCGTGCCAAACACGGTCGAATGCTTTCGATGTGTCCAACGCGACAGCTAGAGATTCCCTGTGTTTTTCTAATGAAGCTTGCCATAAATGGGTGACGTAGGCAAGTAGATCTCAAGTAGATCTTCGGTGGCGAAAGCCATATTGTCTATCAACATTTAGTTAATGGTGCCGTCAGGTTCAGAAATTTCTACTCTGTTTACTGACATGTGTGCCGAGCCATTCACGTTGTAGATATCCACTAATTTTGCAATGATTAGTCGAACAAACAGTCTCCTGTAAACTTGTATTCAAAGCACATAGCAGAAATTTTATAATCAACATATAGGCCTAATATTTTGCTATCTACAATATCAAATTCTACAACAAATCCAAAGACCAAAGACGTTCATTTCAAATTACCGGAATGTATGAGGCGCCGTTTGGTTCATAATTATTTTTTTCGATATATAGACATTTTAACTCAAAATATAGAAAAAATCTTATATAATATACGAACTTATCAATATTATATGCAAAATTTCTTATATCGTGTGAAAAATGTTCTATATATTATAAGTGCGACGAAATTTCAATATATATTAGTATGCCTCGCGCCGTTTGGTTCATAATTATTATTCGTAATATATGAAATTTTTACTGAATTTATATAGAAAAAAGTCTATATCAAATGCACAAACTTTATATATGACGAAATCTTTATATATTTGCGTGTCAGGAAAGTCTATATTTGCGCGTCGCGAAAGTTTATATTTGGTTGTACCAGTGTGTGCAGAAATAGACTTTCGGGTTCCAGGGTTTACCGATAGGTGGCTGAACGCGGCTGGACGTCAGCACAGAATGAGGTTAGAGGATCTGGCAACACTGAGGTTCTAAGAAATTCATTGCTATTCTGTGTCTATATAATGTAGCTTTAGAAACACCAAGTTATCCTGATATTCTGGTCCAACTCAGACCTGATGTTCTTAAAATCCTTAATTGTTCCTTTGAAATATCATACTTCGGGGGACCAACACTGTTACTGCTAGTTGATGAAGTCAAATATACATAGGTTCGGTCTTGCGAATCAACAGTGTTGAGAACATGCTCAATTTGACCATAAATATCAAACAGTATATTGTAAACTGATGATAATAACTGTTTCAACCTTTCACAGGCCAGTATATTATCAATGAATATGTTCAACAACCTACAGTAGTCCTCAATTTTCCACTGAGCTTGAGATAAGGCTCTTGAAGAATCTCCTTGCGTCCAGCCGCGTTCAGCCACCTATCGGGAAACCCTGGAACCCGAAAGTCTATTTCTGTACACACTGGCACAACCAAATATAAACTTTCGCGACGCGCAAATATAGACTTTCCTGACACGCAAATATATAAAGATTTCGTCATATATAAAATTTGTGCATTCGATATAGACTTTTTTCTATATGAATTGAGTAAAAATTTTATATATTACAAATAATAATTATGAACCAAACGGCGCGAGGCATACTAATATACCGGGTGACCCGGAACCAATTTACCCCCCTGTATCTTCGTTGTTATTTTGTATGGATGTTTCAAATTCGGTACTTCGATTTGATGTTATGAATGTACAATTTGGCAAGTATCAATCCAAATATGTCACTTCCGGTTTGACCGGAAGCACGTCCAATTTTTATATTTCGAATAGGAAGTATTATTTTTTTTGAAAATTACATTCGGTATAGAATTACCTTTACAATGACATATCACAATCATACTTTCAATTCACAATCTGCTGGTATAATTGACATTTTATAAAATAAATACTTTTTGTGTTCGCCTCGTAACGGAACATTTTCATGAAAGTATGCTGTGGAAGATTGAACAATATCATGTAAGCAACAATAATTCAATCTTCCACAGCATACTTTCATGAAAATGTTTCGTTACGAGGGGAACACAAAAAGTATTTTTTTTATAAAATGTCAATTATATCAGCAGATTGTGAATTGAAAGTATGATTGTGATATGTCATTGTAAAGGTAATTCTATACCGAATTGTAATTTTCAAAAGAAAATAATACTTCCTATTCGAAATATAAAAATTGGATGCGCTTCCGGTCAAACCGGAAGTGACATATTTGGATTGATACTTGCTAAATTGTACATTCATAACATCAAATCGAAGTACCGAATTTGAAACTTCCATACAAAATAACAACGAAGATACAGGGGGGTAAATTTGTTCCGGGTCACCCGGTATATTGAAATTTCGTCGCACTTCAATATATAGAACATTTTTCACACGATACAAGAAATTTTGCATATAATATTGATAATTTCGTATATTACATAGGATTTTCTCTATATATCGCGTTAAAATTTCTATACATCGAAAAAATAATTATGAACCAAACGGCGCCCCATAGGAATGATTCAGTTGAATGGAAAATTGAATGAGAAATATATTTTCAGGTGGCGAGAAGAATGAAACTGAAAAATCTTCCGGAATATTCTCAGTTATCTGGTGGGCAGGCTTTAGAACTAGCTGCTTCAAAAGCAAACGACCCCTTGCATTATAAGTTAACTATTCCAATGTTACAGTATAAAAATTGTAATTTCAGTTTCGCAGGCATCAAAAGTCAACTGCTGTACCAAGTTATTAGAGAAGAAAAATCAAAAGGTACAAGATGGTAAGATATGACTCAACTTTTATCATTCTATTATCATGCAAAATTAGAAACACATAAATGATGGGCAAGTAAACAGATGCATGAAAATAGTTTAAAGGTGCATAAGTATAACATATCTTTCCTTGAAGCGAATTCAAGGCGTACCATTGGGATCTCTCGAAGCTCAAGAGATTCGGGGTCGGTTAAATTGTGGAAATGTTATTAATTTGCTGCTAGATAAAATGCCGTCTTGATATTTTAGTTATCCAGAAGGAAAGAAAATTTCGAAAAATATTTATTTTCTGTGAATGAATGACAGTTCATTGCTACTTTTTCCTACTGAAAGATGACGTTGACACATTTGGAAACCGGCCACCATCACCAACCTCATTTTCTTGAATACGGCATTGGACTCCATTGTGTATTTTGTTGACTTCATCGACCTCATTTTCGTGAATACGGCTCTGAACTCTATTCTTGTATTTACTTGTATAAAAACCATAGAAAACATTTTAAGACATGAGAAAAACAAACATTTTTTTCTGTGACGGGAAAATGTTTGACATTTCATCTCTGTTGACAAGTTATAAAATGTCACCTTTCATAAATTACTTTTTTATACACATATACACTGTTGATGGCTTTTGTTCTGCTAGTTCAGAAAAATAAGCCAATAACACCGTCTCTGGGAAAGAACTGCAAGTCCTTTCACCATGCATTCCACTTTGCTGTTACGTAAATTACTAAACAACCAACAAGTTGACAATTTTTCAAAATGAAATCACAGAATTCGATTGACAGATATTTGATTACTTCAAAAGAATGATAAAGATGCCTGCAACGCAGGTGTAATTCCTGTTAATAACTTCAAATTTCACATCGATAATTTTCTGATTTCAATATAATGTGATGTCTTCTCAATATCGATTCGTCCTTTTTTCTGTCAGAAGAATATGGTGTATTGACTGATCACATATAGGTAATTACCTACTATGTGTGAAATATAAGCCAACATTTTGGAATTCAAATAAGGTACCTATACCTAATAATAATAGGAGTTACTTAGTGACTTGAAATAAAAATATGAAAGTTGGAATACGGGGGTTATCAGTAGTGCCGCATCTGAAAATAATATTCGCAACGTTGCCAGATCTACAGTTTTTCCTATGGATCCCTCAACTTTATTTTTTCAAATGTAATGCTATATATACAGGGTGAGTCATGACTAACCAGCCATAGCCTAATGGCGGATAGCGGAGGTCAAGGTGAGTTGATATATATGTAAAAAAATATTTTTTTCCTATTCTTTACAGAAATACAGGGCATTATTTGAATTCGGGGCAAAACTTCAATGGACGATATTTCAGGAACGTTTCGATGTTATCGGCTGAAATTCACTAACAACTTACCGCTACTGACACTCCACAAGATGACGTAATATGAATAAAAAAATCCAGATCCGGACTTGGAAAACTCATTTTCTCTTTAGATGTCAGAATTTTGACCTACTGGATCGGACTTTTCGGAAACTATTATCAGAATCAGAAAGAACAGGAAAAATACTACAATAATGGCTTCTCAATTCGTACGGCACACTTCGATCGTTTTGGTAAAAAAATATCAAACAAAATACCGATGAATTTTTCTTCGATTTCGTCCGGGCATATCACTCTCTAAATTCGACTAAAAGTAATTATATCAAATTTTTTCCTGGAATGATTCAACTGCAGACCTGAGAAAAGGTATAATTCAATAAAAAATCCAGTACCGGACTTGATTTTGGATAATAACAGTTATAATTTCCGAAAAAGATTTTTCTGGATCTTAATATTAATCAAGAATCTCGAAATGTCCTCCTCCAATTTCTATGCATTTTCTGCATCTTTTCGGGAGATCTCGTTTATGGCTTTCCAATAATTTGCCTATTATTTCTGATTATATCAGCAGCTGTAACTATCCTCTCCCAATTTTCAATTGATATCTAACTTCTATTTGTGATAATGTGAAAACATTGTATTCAATAAGAACAATTGTTGCTTTGGAGCAGATTTTTTTTAGAATCAGATATACGTGCCAACTTATACTAGATGGAGGGATTTTGATTTGAAGTAATGATCTCATTTCTTGTGACCTCTCCCAATCAGCAAACCAAATTGTGAGTTTAGTAGTTCATCGATTTTGAATACACATGAAAAGAAGGCTGTGATATAGTAGTGTATGTCATTGACTCGATTTTTGACGGTTGTTGAAACTGTCAAATGTCGTGGCGGCCCTCATTCTTGGCCTCCTAGGTAACCTGATCTCACAGTTTTGGACTATTTTCTTTGGGGGCATATGAAACAATTGATCTATCAGAAGTGAAAATGTTCAGAAATTGGAGGAGGACATTTTGAGAATCTTGATTAATATTAAGATTCTGACAATTTTTTTTCGAAAATTATGATTGTTTTTTTCCAAAATCAAAGCCGCTCCTGAATTTGTTATTGAATTATACCTTTTCTCAAGTGTGCTGTTGAATCTTTCAAGGGAAAAATTTGATCTAATTTCTTTTAGTCGAATGTAGAGAGTGATATGCCCGGACGAAATCGAAGAAAAATTCATCGGTATTTTGTTTGATATTTTTTTACCAAAACGATCGAAGTGTGCCGTACGGATTGAAAAGCCATACTTGTAGTATTTTTCCTGATCTTTCTGATTCTAATAAAAGTTTTCGAAAAATCCGATCCAGAAGGTCAAAATTTTGACATCTAAAGAGAAAATGAATTTTCCAAGTCCGGATCTGGAATTTTTCATTCATAGTACGTCATCTTGTGGAGTGTCATTAGAGGTTAGTTGCTAGTGAATTTCAGCCGATAACATCGAGACGTTCCTGAAATATCGTTTATTGGAGTTTTGCCTCAAATTCAAATAATGCCCTGTATTTCTGTAAAGAATAGGCAAAAAAATATTTTATTATATATATATATCAACTCACCTTGACCTCCCCTATCCGCCATTGGGCTATGGCTGGTTAGTCATGACTCACCCTGTATTTTCAGCGCATTCGATTTGTCATGTTCAAATTACTATGACCCTATAATATCATATTCCAATTCGCCTAATTTTTGTTAATATGGCAATTCAACATTTCGTCGAAAAATATCACCAAATTTCAATATCTCGAGAAATCGTAGCGTTATGACAATGAAAATCAATTAATTAGAAATTTGTTGGCAAGTCTCATCTAAAAATATAATTTTCAACGTTGTCAAATTTACATGTTATTTTCACGAAATCTTCTGTTGAATTTCCATATTAACAAAAATTAGGGGAATTAAAATTTGATATTATAAGGTCATAGCAATTCGAACACGACAAATCGAATGCGCCGAAAATATATATAACATTACATTTGAAATAATTAAGTTGAGGGCTCCATAGGAAAAACTGTAAATCTGGCAACGTTGCAAATATTATTTTAAGATCCGGCACTACTGACCCCCGTATACCCACCAAATTTCATATTTTTATGTCAAGTCGTTGCTGAAATTTTCGACCGTTCCGGTTCTTTTGGGAAACCCTGTATGTGATATATATCCGGGAAAAAAGTACTCACTTTTTTCCCACGGGAAAAAAGTAATTTATGAAAAGTGACATTTCATAACCTGCCAACAGAAATGGAATGACAAACTTTTTTCCCGTCACAGAAAAAAATACTTATTTGCAGATGTAGCAGCTGATAGTCCCATACCAGGTGTTTATGATATGTGTGCCAGTTTTCAGCTCGTTGTAACCAGGCATATATGTCATAGGGTACAAAGAGGTATGGAATATGCTGAACGTGCTGGACTAATTCCACCAGATAAGAAAACTTTGGTAAGTTATCAAACATTCATCAAATTATTAAGTTTTGTGTCGAAATTCTCAGTTTTACGCTAAATTGAACTCGCGCATACCACGTGATCGGTTTGTTAAAGTTGCTTGGCGAATATACGCAGTGCGAATATCTTACCCGGCCTTGGATAATGGGGGACTTTCCTTCGGATGTATTTTCGTCAAATTAGTTTCACACTGATTAGGATTATGCTTCTGCGATCTATAATGACAATTGAAATGATTCAAATCATTTATATTTCCAAACTAGAGTAATTGAGAAATATTTTGGCGGGAAACGATGACGTTAAACGGTGAATCTAGTGTGAACTTGAATATAATAATTTTGGCTGTAAGATACAAATCTCCGAACAAGCTCTAACTGAAAACGAAGGAAAAAGATCAACGGTTCACAATTTGGAAGGCTTACTTATAATAATTACGAGTATATTCTGAAAAATGAATGAATTGAAAAAGTATGAAAGAGAAATTAGAGCTGATTTGCTCACCATCACTAGTGATATCCGAAAATATTACAATTCTGACGAGCTAATTAGTCTGTAGAGATAAAATTCAACTTGAAGCAAAGCAACTAGATTAAAATCAACAAGTGTGAATACAACGAAAACAGCGCGTATATAATACTAGACCATGAATTATAAGAAGTAAAAAAACCGTAAACAACAATAAACAATGAAAACATAACCACAATAAATCCGCAGCTATCAGCATAGTTTAATGTGAAACTGATTTTGGGCGCGGTTGCTAGGTATCATTTACTAATTTCTTGGAAACAAATGAAACCCACTCAGGATCCATTCAAGTTGGAATTTCTTGAAAACAAATGAAACCCACTCAGGATCCATTCAAGTTGGAATCTTATTTTGATTATATTCCTTTCAAGATTCAACTTTGAGTAATGGAGGTATATCTAGATATTATTGAAATATACAGGGTGATTCAAAAATGTGTACCGAGCTTCCTGGAGGTGATAGAACATTGAAAAATAAGTATATAGTTTGATGAATAAACTAATAGCCCTAAATGTGTATTCAGGGAAATATACCCTTTCAAACGGTAAAAGCCACGAAATAAAAATTTCCTGCATGATTGTATGTTGAAGAAATACATTTTTCTGATACACTTCTACGTTTCTGCTATAGTTAAAAGGGTGTTTTTAGAGGTAGGTCATGATTTATAGACAACTTTTTTCCTGTATTATTTTTGGTGAAAAAAACAGGAGCATTAGAAAAAGCGAAGAAAAATACATAAAGAAGGTAATCTTATTAAAATACGAATAATTCAACCGTTTTCAAGATATTTGAGTTTTTGTAGTCACTTGATATCAACAGAGTGATTTATTGGTGACAATATTTTAGGAGCCATGCATGACCGATTTTGTTCTCAATTTTGGCGTTCATGACATCAACGTTGTAATTGTTAATTTCTTCGTTTGGTTTTTTGCTTCGTTATATTATTACTGGCAATTTTCAACTGAGATTTCAAAAAAGGTTCTGCGTGATGCAGAGATGTTTCCCTCTTGACGCGTTCCAAATTCTAGAAAAATTTTGAAGATTGTGCAAAGATTGCGTGAAAAAGAATATTTCAAAACAAAAAATAGGGATGGTGGCCGGCCAAGAAGTTCGAGGCCTACTAGAATATTGGTACTGATGAATTTACCTGCTGATATCATGTCACTACCATTTTTAGGTAATTTCATTCTTTCTATCAGATGCTCCTGTTTTTTACCGAAATTAATACAAGGAAAAAAGTTGTCTTCAAAAAATCATGACCCACCCCCTTAATAACTATAGTAGAAATGTAGAAGTGTTTCAAAAACGCGTATTTAATCAACACTTATTTATGCAGGAAAATTCAATTTGGTGGCTTCTACCGTTTAAAAGTTATATGGAGAAATTATTTTAATTTCATCAACTTTGGAAAGATATTTTTTCCTTGTATTAATTTTGGTGAACAAACAGAAGCATCTAATAGATTAAATATTCCTTCACTCGGAACTATTTATATGAAAAATTCATAGTCCACTATCAAAATTCAATGTTTCAGTGATTTTTGAGCATTTTTAAAAATATTATATTCCATACATATATCATTTTGAAGGGTAAAAATAAGGTGTATGCTGAGCTTATAAAATACAGGGTGCTCTGTTCAAAAAAATCAAGTTTACTCCAAAACCATACCACGAAAAAAATTTTTGAATGCGCCACTGGATTCTGCGTAAAATTCTCTCAGAACCTTCGTAGATATAGAGGAGGTTCAGTAAGTATTAATTTTCAAAATCACCCTGTATGGGTATCATAAACGGAAACAATTATACAAAATCTGATTAGGCCAGCTACTCGTTTGCTTCGATATGCTTCGTTCTAAATCGTTCTTGTCAGGATTTGACTACGAAACAGAGTTCAAAAAAGGGTCAGATAACACCAACGTCGATTATTTATCCAGAGAAATCAAATCCAGGGAAATCGAATCTTCGAACAATCGATACCTTAGTACACGAGATGAATTCGTATTCCATATATCAGATATCGTCAGAAGAAGTCACGACAAAGACCATTGCTCGAGAAACTGATAAAGATGAGGAACTCTCAAAAATCAAGAATGGTCTTACTGGTGGTGCGGCTGAGGATCTTCAATACACACTCGACAATCTTGTTCTCTTCAGAAGTCATGAGGTTGTGATTCCACTTTCATTTCAGCATTCTATCTTGAAGGAATTGCACAGCACTCATATAGGGATCACCAAAATGTAACAATTGGCCCGCCGTTACTGTACTTGGAGTGGAATGGATCGAGCAATAGAGAATATCATTAAATTTTGCGAAACATGTGCTATTCTCAACTCAAGTCCACCCAAAGCACTGCTCCATTCGTGGGAGCAACCACTAGAGAACTGGAATCGTGTTCACATGGTTATGTAGGGCCATATGAGAACATACATCTCTAGATCATTGTAGATGCCAAATCAAAATGCGCTGAAGGCAGAATTTCAAATAATGCTTCAACAACTTCTATATCCATCGAATTACTTGATAATGGATTTGCGACACATGGACTACTCAGAGTGTTGGTATCTGATTTTTACCAGTGACAATTTCAAAAAATGGTGCACGGTGAATGGAATCTTCCAAAAGGTCTCCGCCCCAGGTCATCAAGCAACTGCCTTCCTCGCAGAGCGCAATGTGCGAACCATTACAAATTGTTTGAAGGCCATTGAAGATACAGATTTAACGCTCAATCAAAAATTACAGAAGATCATGTATCAGTATAGAGCAACTCCACTTGCCGCAGGAAAAACTGCTGAACTCTAACTGAAACGAACTTCCCGAATTCGATTAGATACCGTCAAACCATTTCATGAACCAGATCATCCAGTTCCAGGTATCTGATCATTCAAGGCTGGAGATCGAGTTCTGTCTCGATACTATGCCGATAATCACCCGACATGGCGTTTTGGTGTGGTGATGGAGAATTTTGGCTACCTGTACTTTCTTCTGAAACTCGACAATGGTTACGTGTATACACGTCATATCGATCTACAGGTTACTCGGAAAACGGTTTCCTTTGCGCCTGACATGAAGCCAGCTGCGGAAGATTCTGAAGATCCCCAGGAGAATCCAGTATATCTACCGAGGCTCCAGATTCCACCAATGGATATCTTGACGCCTCCGGAAGCCATGGTTCAAACACCAGGAGATAATCCAATCCTTAAGAGCGGTAAGAACCACCAGGGCGATCTGGACGTGACCATCAATTACCAGATCACCTCGAGGATTTCGTATTGGATAGACGTGTTCCGAATAATCAGTGAAGATTGTAGATTTCAGATTGCAATTGTGTTTTAAAAGTTTTGTCATTGTATTTTGAGTACACGTAACTATCCTAGATTTCCAATAGTGGGGGAGCTTTGTTATAACTTAAATATATGAAACATCCGTTATATTTGTCAGATACTTCGAGTTGACAGACAGTCAAATAAATGTTGAAAATACGCGAGCATTTTTATTCAATATTCACAACAGCTTCATTTCTTCATCACTGGAACTAGAGGTACTTGCCCTTGGTGTTTCTGTTTTCACTATCGGATAATATGTCTTCTAAGATCCATAATTTCAACGTGAGTAAAGAAGATGACTATAAGAAGGACGCGAAATGAAAACGAACAAAATAAAACACCGAAAATCAAAAGATCATAGGCTATTGTTATGTTTTGCTGCCAGTGTACCAGTAGTACCAGTACTGCCAAAAGTGTATCGAAATGAAATGAAAATTCAAAGCTAATGTTACTGTTTAGTGTTCCTAAATTGCTTACTGTGGCCAGTAATGTCAGCAATATGGAAACATGACCTATGTACAAAATTTAGTAGACAAGTTGACTTCGCCCGCCACTATGCAGTATCCACCACAATAATATGGTCACAAATCAGCGACGAAATTCACGGAATAGACTCGTTTGATATCTTCATTAGTGGAAAATGGCTATTCAAGTTCAGATTTCCCAAGTGATATGGAGGAAGCAGCACAAAATGCACTATTCTCTTCGTCCACCCATATTTTCATTTTGTAACTGGTGTTGAAATGAACATCAACAGTTAAAGTAAGACGTTTCAAATCATCCGTCAGTGTTTTAAAGTAATTTCACACATGTCAAAATTATAGAAAAATAGTTATTTATTATACAAGGGAAAAAAGTAGTAGATTTTAGCTCCAGGTTGTGTTGTCTCCCGACGCGTAGCGGATGGAGACAAAAACCGTGAACTAAAATCTATAATTTTTCCCGTGTATAATACATTATTTTTTTCTGTGACAGAAGAAAGGACGAATCAATATTGAGAAGATATTACATTATTTTGAAAACTATCGACGTGATATTTCAAGTTCTTAACAGTAGGGACACCTGCGTTGTAGGCATCTTTATCATTCTTTTGAAGTAATCAAATATCTGATGTCACTTCTGTCAGTCTAATTCTGTGATTAGATTCCAAAAAATTGCGAATTTAGTGGTTGTTTAGTGATATACGTACCCGCGAAGTCGAATGGAAGATAAAAGGACTTGCAGTTCTTTCTCGGAGACGGTATTATTGACTCATTTTTCGGAACTATAGCACAACAAAAGCCATCAACAGTGTATATACAGTATGTCCACCTTAAGGACTTACCACCCCTGTAAAATTGTTATTATCTGACCGATTTCAAAAAACTTTTTTTTTGTTGGATAGGTATTTGAAATGTCCATCCAACAAGAGAGTGATTTTGTCCATGAACTGTAATCGTGGCCAACTGCGACCAACTTTATTGACCCATATTCGAGAAAGTACTATTAGGGATTTTTTTCATAAAAAACAATGATGGATTCTGAATCACGATCACTTGAAAAACACCTTTACTGATTTTTATCATCATAAAACACACTGTGTCCGAAATAACGAATCATGTTTTTTTTTAATAGGTGATCAGAAAATGTAGATATTGTGGTATTTTTGAGAAGAATTGATGACACATTATTATTGAGGATCACTTTGAACATATCTGTACCGATTTTCATCATTCAAAAATACGATGTGTATGAGAAAACAATTAAAAAGAAATAGTAGGCAATATTTTTTCATCAACTCAAAAAAAATATCAATTTGATTTTTCGAACACCCTGTGTTTAATGATGATGAAAATCGGTACAGGTATGTTCCAAGTGATCCTGATTCATCTTTTTATTTTGAGTGAAGAATTATCAGGATGAAAATTGCTTACCCATCCTTTTTAATTTTTTTCTCAGACACATTGTATATTCAAATGACGAAAATTGGTACAGGTATATATCCTCAATGATAATTTGTGATTATTTCTTTGTAGAAAAACCACAGAACTACATTTGCTGATCACCTATTTGAAGAAAATTATGATTCGTTTTTTCGGACACCCTGTGTTTTATGATGATGAAAATCGGTACAGGTATATTTCAAGGGGTACTGATTCAGAATCCATCATCAAGTTTCGTGGAAAAAAATCCTTAATAGTACTTTCTGGAATATGGGTCATTAAAATGTGTCGAAGTTGGCCACGATAACAGTCCAAGAATTAGATCACTCTCTCGGTGGATGGGCATTCCAAATACCTATCCAACAAAAAAAGGTTTTTTGAAATTGGTCGGATAATAACGATTTTACAGGGGTGGTAAGTCCTTAAGGTGGACACACTGTATATCCGGGAAAAAAGTACTCACTTTTTTCCCACGGGAAAAAAGTAATTTATGAAAAGTGACATTTTATAACCTGCCAACAGAGATGAAATGTCAAACTTTTTTCCCGTCACAGAAAAATAATTATTTATTATACAAGGGAGAACAGTAGTGGATTTTAGCTAGAGGTTGTATTGAATAGGTACCGACTCGTAGCGGAGGGAGACAAAAAATCGTAATATTTTCCCGTGTATAATACACTTTATTTTTCTGTGACAGGAAGAAGGATGAATCAATATTGAAAATATATTATATTAAAATCAGAAAATAATCGACATGTACTTTGAAGTTTTTAACACGAATTACACCTGCGTTGTAGACATCTTTATCATTCTTTTGAAGTAATCAAATATCTGTCAATAATTATCTGATTTGATTTTTAAAAATTGCGAACTTAGTGGTTGCTTGGTAATTTACCAAACCGCGAAGTGGACTGGAAGATAAAAGGACAGTGGGCTCCGTGGCCGAGTTTGTCTATGCGCTGAAATTCGCTAGATAGCCGTTCACGATGCAGAGGTACTGTCGGTTCGAATCCGGCTATCGGCTGAGCATTTTTCTTTAAAATGTGTGATTCATGGTTGTAATCCTGACAGCACTTCGATGCCCTAGAAGTGGTTCGGATTCCACTATAAGCTGTAGGTCCCGCTCTTCCTAACCCCGCACAAGTTTCGACTTCTGGGGAGTTGGTTCCCAACTTTGAAGTAGCGATATACAAATTTTACATGCAGTTTTTTCTCAGAGACTGTGTTATTGGCTTATTTTTCGGAACTAGCACATCAGAAGCCATCAACCCTGTTTATATAAATCTAGGAAAAAGTCAACTTTTTTCCGTATGAAAAAAGTAATTTATGAAAAGTGACATTTTATAACTTGCCGGCAGAGAGATGAAATGTCAAACTTTTTCCCGTCACAGAATAGATATTTACGTAATCAGTTAGGAAACGCGTTGTTTTGTGTAACGATGGGATTTTGCGGGACGAGCGAAGCGAGATCCCGCAACATTACAGTGTTACACAAAATGGCGTTTCCTAACGTGTCACGTACAATATTTTTTCTAATTTTGACGAAACATTTCGCATGAACAAAAATAATGACCAGTTTTACATGAGTTCTGCCGACTCTTGTTGTGTGAGATGAATGAATGAAATGAACATCACATCACCAGTTATGTAAAATTTTACTTTACGCAACTGGTTATGTAAAGTAAGACGTTTCAAAACTTCCGTCAGTTTTGAAAAGTGTCACATTACATGTCAAAATTAGAAAAAAAATATTTTCCTCGCGTTATCTGCCATTGTTTTATAATTTATTGAACACTTGTGGAAATGACTTTTGAGTATTTTCCTCATTGTTGATGATGAGTATTTTCAAGGTGGTTTCTGGAGGAGCAGCCTGCAACAATTTTATAGCAAAAGGTTTGAGTATGGTATGCGGAGAACTAGGATATAAAATGGTCAGACCACAACCAAAACTATGCACCGACAATGGAGTCATGATTGCTTGGAATGGTGTGGAAAGGTGAATATAATAAATACTGTCTGTAGGTTAATCGAGGAGGTGGTGCATTCATTATTTCAGATTTTTTTGGGATTTTCTCTCCTCGTTTCTATAAAATAAAAATATGAATATCATTTCAATATACCTGTAGAAAGGACAAATCAGATAATTTGCCCCAAGATGTCACTGCCATTAAAGAATTTTCCTATCAGAGAGCCTGAAGGAAAAATTCACTAGCTTGTCAGTGAAATGAAGGTATATAGAAAACTAGGGAAAAAGCCAAATACTCAAAGTGGAATGCATTGGTCACGAAGAGAGAAACTCAAAGTCATTACCACAACTAGTTCATAAAATGAACGACAAAATGGTAGATAACGAGAGAAAAACAACTACTTTCCTGGCTATATGCCACGCAGAACATTGCATTACATCCTCCCGAAACCTATGCGATAGTTCGTATAAACGAATAAAATCGCAAGTGTTTCCTTCCTAAACGCTGAGCTGCGTTTAAGTGGTTCAGGAACGCTGACTACCTGCAGACCGGTTTCGAGCTCTTGGCTCTCATCAGTACAGGGCTGTCCCAGATAGCTTCTTGACCGCTATCTGGTGCGAACCTGACCCAACGTAAACTCATCTCAGCATTTATACCATACGAGGCGTTCGACGTCTGCGAAATGAACGAACTATCGCATAGGTTTCGGGAGGATGTAATGCAATGTTCTGCGTGGCATATAGCCAGGAAAGTAGTTGTTTTTCTCTCGTTATCTACCATTTTGTCGTTCATTTTATGAACTAGTTGTGGTAATGACTTTGAGTTTCTCTCTTCGTGACCAATGCATTCCACTTTGAGTATTTGGCTTTTTCCCTAGTTGAAAATACGCCAGTCGGGCAACCAGCCACTCCCATTTCATCTGGAATGGGATTTTGTTTTGGAGTGTTTCTTTCCTTGCCAGGTGGCGTTCGGCGTTCGCGTTTTATTTCGCAGACGTCGAACGCCTCGTATGGTATAAATGCTGATATGAGTTTACGTTGGGCCAGGTTCGCACCAGATAGCGGTCAAGAAGCTATCTGGGACAGCCCTGTACTGATGAGAGCCAAGAGCTCGAAACCGGTCTGCAGGTAGTCAGCGTTCCTGAACCACTTAAACGCAGCTCAGCGTTTAGGAAGGAAACACTTGCGATTTTATTCGTTTATACGAACTATCGCATAGGTTTCGGGAGGGTGTAATGCAATGTTCTGCGTGGCATATAGCCAGGAAAGTAGTTATTTTTCTCTCGTTATCTACCATTTTGTCGTTCATTTTATGAATTAGTTGTGGTAATGACTTTGAGTTTCTCTCTTCGTGTATATAGAAAACATATCAATTTTTTTTTTACTCAGCTTTGGACGTTTCGGGAACGAATCTGCTCCCATTTTCAACATAAAAAATTGATTTTTTGTATGCCAACGTCACCAATTGTCACTGAGAACTGAAAAGTGTCAGGACAAATACGAATTTGCCATACAACAAAAAACATTTTTTATGTTGAAATCGGGAGCAGATTCGTTCCCAAAACGTCCAGAGCTAAGTGGAAATTTGATATTTTTCCAATATACCTTTATTTCTCTTCTCGAAACTTTTGTCAATACAAATTGTCACTGACAAGCTAGTGAATGTTTCTTTTAGGCTCTCTGATAGGAAAATTCTTTAAACGCAGTGACATATTGTGGCAAATCATCGGATTTGTCCTTACTACACGTATATTGAAATAATATTCATATTTTTACTTTATAGAAACGGGGAGAAAATCACAAAAAAATCTGGCATAATGAATATAATAACTGCATTCTCCGGACAATTCACGACGAAAGAATTTTAGCTGGTTGAAGGCAATGAGAAACTATTTTATTTTTTTTTTCAGGTGGAAAGAAAACATTGGAGTCTATACAGATTTTGAAAATATTACAATTGAAAATAATGCACCTCTCGGCGAAAGTCTCATAGAAGAAGTTGAAAATCAAAGAATCAGTTGCAAATGGGTGAAATTGACTCAATTAAATCAACCACAAGCCAGTTGGTCGAAGGATTGATAGTGAAGTACATAATATACCAACATATAAACAAATTTCTTGGTAAAAGATGGGCACTTGTTTTATACTTATAGGGCACCCTGTATATTTCAAGATCATATGTGGACCAATATTTTACTATACAGGGTGTTTCCTAATTGAATATCAATATTTGAGGAGGCAAGTCTTGAGCCCATTTTAAGAAGAAAATTTCATGTGAACGTCAACTTTTAAGATACAGGGTGGTAGAGTTCTCAAAAATGAAAAGTTTTTCATTATTATCTGTGATACTACTCTAGATATTCTGATGACATTTGGCATGTACTATGTATCAAGAGGCATCGGCGAGTGTACAACATTTTTTGTTGATGGCACCACTGGCGTTCGTATGGAATTTTACATACCTATTTCAGCAGACATTGATGGTACGCCACTGATTAATCTCAAAATTGAAATCATTCCTGAAATTCTCAATCATTCTGAAGCAAATTTTATCTCCACAATTGTTTCAATCTGATGCACGGTTTTCGCTCAAAAAATAAAAATCTGTTCACTACATGATCATAACAATATCGTCAATAATATGACGATACCACAATGCAGAGAAATATATTTTATTTTTTAGGTGAAAACCGTGATTCGGACTGAAACAATCCAAGAGATCAAATCAAGTGGTGTTACAGATATTAATAAAATACTAATCATTTTTGAGAAGTTTACCACCATGTATCTCAAAAGTGAAGACGTTTAGGTCATACGTTCATATGAGTTTTTTTTTCAAAATGGGCCCAAGGATCGCCTCCTCAAATATTGACATTCAATTAGGAAACACCCTGTATATGAGTACCAAATGTAATTTTTATATTTATTTGTTAATGTTAGAGACATCTCATCTTTGATATAGTTATGGATAGGACTAAAAAGAATAAAAACTACATCAAAATATTTATATCAATTTGTTTTTATACAAGCACAGGTCCTTTTTCTTTCAACGATTTCCTTACATTTTCAATTATTTCAGTGCTCTGATCTTCCTCTTCCTTCTCTAGTTCTGCTAATACATCTAATAGCTTACGTAACTTCTGTTTAACATGTTCAACATCATCAGGATGTTCTTTCGCTGATATGGGAATGATATCACAAAAATTCAATGTTTTATTAGGTCTCATCTCTTCGGGATATTGTTTGAAAAATTCTGAAAATTAGAAGTAGGTACTCTTAGTCACAGGATACATTCGACCAGATTGACGATAATACCTGGTAGATTTTTCAAATGGTCTCTTATTTCTTGAAATCTCTCTAATGATCCCTCAGAGTCCATTTTGTTTATTAAAATCATTGATGGTTTCATCAACATATCTTCATTATACATTTCAAGCTCCTATAAATAATGTTACTAGAGGGTGTACGCTACTTAATGGTAAACAGCAAAAATATTGCGTTTCGTTTTCTCCCAATAATTCATCAACGGGATGACAAAACAGCAAGAAATTTGGCATTAAGGGGTTTTCTGAGGCGAGAAATTCGAATTCGTTGTTAGTTTGGATGTCATTTGTAGGTACATTGAATCTCTTCAGAATGATTGAACTTTTTTGTGTCACGGTGTATTAGTCTAAATGTTGAAGATTATGTATTTAACATATTTTTTACGTAAAAAAAGGCATACTTTGCAAATGACTCATTGAGTGGCCGTTTTCGAGATATCTGCATATCAATTATTTAAAAAACTTCGCTTTTTTAAGGTAGGCTGTGATCAAATCAGATGCATAACAAACATTATGTAAAGATTTTCAATATATATATACTTCAACTTTTAGACTAATACATCATGACACATCAATTTTCATTTTATTTATCTTCAATTTCTAGCCAGTGAATAATTGTTTTTACGTTACAAACATTTTATTGCCAATAAAGATCATGTGTCAAATGTCATGTGTTACTTCATTGATTTTTTGAATTTAAATGCTTTCCAAATGTATATGTCTATCGGCTTTTTATATTGGTCGATACGATAATCGGCCAACGAGGTCGATACGATAATCGGCTAACGAGGCCGATATAACCGTTACGCCGATATATGCAGACATTATTATGAAAAGTTGGTGCCTTGGATAATTAGTTGTGTTCTATTGACCTAAAATATTCTCAGTGTTGCCGCTTATACAAGGTGATTCTAAAATAGGTGGTCAAACTTTGGGAGCATATAGAGTGGGTGAAATAGTTACGAAAACCTCTGTAACATTTTTTTCTGAAGTGACTCCCAAGAAAGATACAGCCCCTGAAAGGGGGGCCTCGGAGAATGATTTTGTATTATTATCTCCAACACCTTGTATAATGAAAATCTGAAATTTTGTCTATCCACTTATTATTCAATGCTGGTTCGAATGGAGTTGAAATCACCTCAAAATAAAATACAGGAATGTGTCAAAATAGGGAGGTAGGGGGTAAAAATAACCCCAACTTTTTTGTTCATCGCAATTTCAGTTTTTTGACATGAAATTATGGAATCTTAGGGCTATTTACATAGAAAAGGTGATCTTGTTGCATCTCGATAAAATGAACTATTAGCGAATAAAATTTAAAAAAAGCTTGTTTTCAACAATATTTTCCATTTTAGTATCTTCAATAGGATCAGACCATAATCACGAAACTCGTCGTCTATTTTTAATTCATCAATTTCGACAACGAATTCAAAATTTTCAACCCCAAAAACCCTTACAAACCATATTTGAAGCGAATCGAATCATAATCACAAATCTGGTAAGCCATATTGAAGCCGCCATATTTTTTCCTATCAAAAAGTCCATAACGCGTTGTAAACTGTCATCTGCCAGATTCCAAGTTGATCAGACGATTAGAAGTAGGTAAAAATTCAGTTGCAAAATTTGAACTAAATAATTAAACGAGTGCATACCAAAATTGTAATTTAAATGAAATCTTGGAAAAATAAATGTTATTCGCTAATGGTTCAGTTTATCGAGATTCAACAAGATCTCCTTTTCTATGATAATTGCCCTGAGATTTCATAATTTCATGTAAAAAAACTGAAATTGCGATGAAAAAAAAAAAGTTGGGGTTATTTTTACCCCCTACCTCCCTGTTTTGACACACCCCTGTATTCAATTTTGAGGTGATGTTAACTCCATTCGAACCGGCACTGAATAGTTAGTGGATAAACAAAATTTTAGATTTTCATCATACAAGGTGTTGGAGATAATAGTACAAAATCATTCTCCGAGGCCTCCCTTTGAGGGGCTGTATCTTTCTTTGGGGGCACTTCAGAAGAAAATTTTACCGAGGTTTTCGTAATTATTTCACTCACTCTATATACTCCCAAAGTTTGACCACCTATTTTAGAATCACCTAGAAAAGTAGCAACAAATTTGATTTTTTAAATGGGACACCCTGTATACTATTTCATTTTCAGATTCTCCCTAAAGAGCTGATTTTATTGACCCATAACACTTGGGGGCTAGCAATAATAAATACAGAGTTATAGGATGTGAAAAATCGAGATTTTTCAACTTTATGAATTTTTTGCGGCTAAAATATTCAGAATTGGTAAAAACGGTTTTCATGTCCCTATCCCAACATTTTATTCACTATCGATTGATATTTAATTGAAATAAACACAGAGTGGTTCAGAATTAAGATTTTTGACCACCCTGTATCTATTTCAATTGATAGTACATAAAAAGTTATAATAGGGACATGGAAACCGTTTTGACCAATGATGAATAGTTTTGACATAAAAACTTCTTAAAGGTGGAAAATCTCGATTTTTCACACCCTATATCTTTGTTATCAATTCCGCTTGTCCCCAAGTGTGATATATCGATAAAATCAGCTCTTCAGGGAGAATTTGAAAATGGCATAATATACAGGGTGTCCCATTCAAAAAATCAAAGTTGTTGCTACTTTTCAATATAAGCGGCAACGTCGCAACATTGAGAATATTTCAAGTCGATAGAACACAACTAATTATCCAAGGCACCAACTTTTCAGAATACTCCTGAGTTGCGTTCTCCAGAAACGTCTGATGTGCTATCCACCGTGAATCAGTCTGTATATCGGTATCGGTCGATCCCTAGTTTCGATAATTATGTTAGCTTCTTCAGGAGAAGATTAAAACTAAATTTCAAAAGTGATAAAACAGTGTTTTATGATTATCATGCCGAAGGTTCCAGTCTTTGATATATTTTCAATAACTAATTGTTTTCCCAAATTGAAATAAATTCAAAATCAATGGCAAGCATGTCCGCTATTGCTCACGCGTGGCGCTAGTGTGGCTGTAGAGTCATCTGTCATTCCAAACGTTATTGAAGGAAGCAAAAGCGACAGTTTCTCGAACTAATTTTATTAATATGAATCAGTAAACAAAGATTTACAGCTTATATAACCTACAACCTCACCAGTGCCATCTGCTTCAAGCTATCCAGATTACCTATCATTGAAAAGGAATATCCATACCTTTATCAAGAGCATCACAGTTTCCAAGCAACTTCTATGAGGATACTGAGGACCTAACTGAAAGCCATTTATATCAACGACCATAAGCAATAGCTTTGTTCTCTCAACATGCTTCAAGAACTCATGACCCATTCCTCGGTTAGCATGGGCTCCTTCTATGAGACCTGGTAAATCGGCCATGGAAATTTGGCGATGATCTTTATATACCATAATACCAATATTTGGCTTCACAGTTGTGACTGAAACCGCCAGATAAAAAAAATGTTTGGAATTGTTTCATCATCTTACATGGATAGCTGGCAACTTTTGGTTTTGCTTGAGATATTGACCTCAAGAGTGTGCTTTTTCCAGCATTCGGGAATCCTACCAATCCTATGTCAGCAATGAGTTTCAAGTCCAAGCTAACAAAATATGCTTGCCCTTTTGTACCCAAGAAACCATTTTTTGCATGTCCTCCTGTACCTCCTTTTGCTAAGACAAGTTCATCACCTTCATTATTCAATTCACCTACAAGATTAGTCAAGGTTAATATTTTAAATCTTCAATATCAGGATATCTCACATCTTGTATTATTAGTAACGTGTAATTATAATGCCAAGGTGGCATAGACAGTTTGTAATAAAGTCCATTGTATCTGTTAGTGCAGTGGTTCATTTCCAGAGTTCAAAACACAAAGTGTGTAATTATAATGCCAAGGTGGCATAGACAGTTTCTAAATTAAGTCCATTATATTTGTGAGTGGAGTGGTTCGTTTCCAGAGTTCAAAACACAAAGTCGTCTCCATAATTTTTAATAGTGATCAAATCACTTAAACCAGATCAAGGTACATGTTTCGAGCCTAAATAGGCTCATCTCCAGCGAGAATTGACAATTATGGAGAGGAAAAAAGAGAAACTACTTTGCCACAAGAATCTTTGCATAGCATGGTTTGGTGCTTTTCTGCCTTTTGGGGCCTCAGAAACCCCTTTTATAATCACAGTCAAATTAAAAAAAAAATTAAATGAAATGCTATACTCCTTTTGCCATATTCTGACTTGTAAAATTATGTAAATTAAATACTTTCTCTCTTTTCCTCTCCATAATTTCCAATTTTCGCTGAAGATGGGCCTATTTAGGCCGGAAACATGTACGTCGATCTGGTGCAAGTGATTTTTGGGATCTTCTCTTTTCGTCTCTATAGCAGATCCGATGATGATATGCCCCAAAATGACATTGTGTTTAAAAACTTTCATTGAAACCCCAGAGAAAAATTAAATCAGTGATATCTTGTTTGACAACTGCTTAGGTGTATTGGAAACATTTGAAAGTTCACTTATTTTTGGACGTTTTGGGAACGAATCTGCTCCTGTTTACAACACGACAGAAGTTTTCGGAAAACTGTATGAGTGAGTGTTTTTCTAATTGATTTCGAATTTAGGAAGCAATGTGTTGAGAAGAATGCATGAGGATTGTTATTTTTTTAATTGCGGTGGAATCGAATGTGATCATGTTGATTTCTCATTATCTATTCTTATTCTGAAAAGCTGCAACAAATTACGCAAACAGATTTGATAACCAAAATGAAATTAGCATTCAACTCAAAAGAAATTAGAAATCTGTTGTGGAAATAATAATTCAAATTTGATCAGAAGTTATCTCTTTCACGTTTAGTATGTTAAACACTTTATAATAGTACTATAGTACATAGCTTTGGAGCCGGTGGATCAAATTACCTGTTCACTTAATCAAACTGGAGCATTGAACTATTAAGATTGTTCATCGAATCGTTACATATAAGAGTATTAAGAAAGAATGGCATTTGGCAACATGGCATGACAAGAGAGCAACGCTCGCCGTTAAACAGTTGTTGTGCGCATAATGAATTTCAGTTATCATTCTGTTCAGATATTCCAACGGAGACTGGCGGAGACTTACGATAGTCGAATCAATCTCTTGCTATGTAGCCATTCACTTGCCCTATTTATAACGATTGGGCAAACAATCTGTATACAAAAACCAATGCATATTCTTTTTTTTTTCAAATTTTTTTCACATGCTCGCAACACACCTTTAATCCCACCCACCATTTTCAAGCCAGCAGACTCCCCTTTGGGTATTCACCAATGCATATAGCATATAAAAACAGTTTCAGCATGATCAAACAAGAAGAATTTTCTTCCATCATCTCTTGAGCTAATATAATATCATTCAGCATAGGGAAACAAATGTTTGCATGTTCAACTTCTTTTTAGTTCACTTGAATTTTCCAATTTTGATGGGAGAATCATAGTATCCGACTCCTAAAACCCCAGATGAAAATTTTGAATAGATTCGGAACATAATAACAAAACTCGTCCGCAATATTGGATCTATCATCTTGAATTCCCTAATTTTGACGAAGAAATCATAATTTTTGATCTCGAAAACGCCCACTTACAAATTTTGAATAGAATCGGTATACCAGGTGGCTACGGAAGTATTGCCTACGGAATATCTCAGTTATTGTATGAAGTAGGTTTGTGAAATTTGGAGCGTCGATATAATGACATAAGAGCTAGAGTTTGAGCATATCGAAGTTAACTTTCGGTCTGACCGGAAGTAACATCAACTTTCTTATTTTAAATGGAAACCCTATTTTTTTGTCTTTTCGCTTTATTCAGCATTCAATTCCCTTTCTAATGACATATCACAAGTTGGTATCTAACCAGAAACTAGATCAGAAAAAAATTATTATTGAAATTCACCGAGTAGGCCGTGCAAGCAAAATGAAAGCCAAAAATTGAAAAGTTGGCTATGGAAACCATACGTCACTTGATAACAGTTGCTACTACTGTGATATTTTATTTTCATTCGTCGGCGTTATAAAAAGCCGCCAAAAAAAATATTGGAAAAATTGAGAAAAAACAATACTCTGTAGGTCCATAACTTAAATAGGAACATACAACTTTTTCTTGCCTGTACTATTCAGCATAACCATTCCTTCCTTTTTGGGTATGGCAATAATCTGTTTTGTTATTTGAAGAATGATACTTAATTGGATTTTTTGGTATTTCATTTCAAAAAATTACTTTCTAATATATCATTAGAAATAACTGAGATATTCCGTAGGCAATACTTTCGTAGCCACCCGGTATAATTACAAAATTTGGTCGGTATATTGGTTCCACCGTCTTGAATTCCCAAATCCCGCGCAAATTTTGACAAAAGAACCAGAATCTTCGACCCCTAAAACTCCCAGATAACAATTTTGAAGAGAGTCGGATGATAATTACAATACTCGTCCGCCATATTGGGTCCGCCATCTTGAATTTCCTAATTTTGACGAAAGAATCATAATCTCCGACCCCGAGAACGACTAGATACCAAATTTGAATAAAATCGGATCCTTATTACAAAATCAGACATTTTGGATCCGCCATCTTGAATTTTTCAATTTTGGCGAAGGAATCATAATCCTCGCGATCACAGAAACCCCTAGGTACCAATTTTGAAAAGAATCGGATCAATTTAAAAAATTCGTCCGCCATATTGGTTCCGCCATCTTGAATTTCCAAATTCTGCCCGAATTTTCAAAATTCTGACGAAAGAATCATAATCTCCGACCCCGAAAACCCCCAGATACCCGAATATAATCGGACCATAATTACAAAACTCGTCCGATATATTAGATCTGCCATCTTGAATTTCCTAATGGTACCGGGATAAAAAGTATTCTATAACCTTCTCCTAGTTCTAAGCTACCTCCACACCAATTTTCAGCCAAATCGATCTAGTAGTTTCGGAGCCTATTCAATACATACATACAAACAATCAATCAAATCTTTCCTCTTTATAATATTAGTATACAGATTGTTTATCAGTGGCGGCTCCTGCTTCTTTCAACAGGGGTGGCTGAAAATGGGAAGTGTAAATGTGAATTTCTACAAAAAAACCTAGGACACTTATGAGGTTCTAGCTCCTCATATTTTTAATGGCCATCCAACCAAATAACAACAATCACTTATTCTTATGATAAAAAAATACAGAAATAGGTTCATCTTTGATGGTGTTTGATAAAATTCTGATGAGTTTCTATTTCCATTTCAAGGAGAATTCTTACAGCGACATCTTATAGAATAGAATAAGATGTAACAAAACCCTTATAATGCGATTTTCAACTTTATATTGCCGGCAAAACAAAAGCGCATGAATCCAAACACCATATACTTGTAAACATCTCGTCACACAAACAAAAGGGCATGAGTCCAAACACCATATACTTATAAACATCTCGTCACACGTGCTCTAGTGAATTTCATGGTCAGAGGCTGATTTCCGTTGGATGTTGCCAAGTCGCAAATTTGTATTCTATTCTGAATACTTTCAAGTAAAGGATGCATTGCTGCCAAATTCTCAAATTCTACTTGATATCGAGAAATAACACCGATAAAACGAACGTAAGTTAGCAATTTCGGTGTATATTTTATACAAGTATATTGAAGTATTCAATGTATGAAAATTCGTGAATAGGCTCAGAATCTCTTGCTTCTGAGAAGCCACTATTTTTCATCAAATCTTTACATATAAGGATTATTAAGAAAGGATGGCATTTGGTAATACTGGCAATTACAGAGAATAATGATTGTTTCTCTGTGGTGGCCACACAAGTCAGATGCAATGAATACGTTGCACATGGTTGGTGTTTGCACCTCTAGTCACTTCTGCATTAAGAGCTCTAACACCATCCAACCACAACATGTTCTTGCATCTGCCTGTAGGATAGTTGATTTAATCTCACTTGCTATGTTGCCATTCACATGCTCTATATTCAACAATTGACAAAAAATCTGTATACTTGGTAACTGAGAGGACACTGAATGGTGTTTTATTCTGAAAGATTATGAATTGATATGAATACTATCATAATTTGTGGGGGCATATTTAGTTAAACCATATGTCATATTCCAACAGGTTTAGACATATGGTTAACCTGATGATGAGCATGTTCAGATTTCATGAACAGTACTGCCCAGTATATTTAATCCTTCCCATCATTCTGATTTTCTTGAAATATACTGGCAATGTTTTCACAGGTCCTGGCAAGGAACCCTGTTAGAGGCTAAAAGTTCACTTTTGGCCACTGGTGCAGAAATGGTGATGTAGTGCCAGTATTCATGAAACATTAGGTTAAGCCTTTGAATGGTTAGGTATGAGCCATGAGTTGATGAAAATTATAAATTGTTATTCTCAACTTTGGGAAAATGTATCAAGTTGAACTGAAATATCTCACAGTGGCAGTAGACCCTGAAACTGCCAATAATCTACAAGATGGTTTGTTATTCCCACTTTTGATATCAACTATCTCACAGCTATGCTTCATTTCTCCATCAATAGAACAAGAGGTACCAGAGCTTGGTGTTTCTGATGAATCAGAATCAGTATCAGATAGTATGCCTTCTAAGATAATATGATTTATCAGTCCATCCATAGTTTCAATGTGAGTAGGGAAGATAAAAAGAATGATGAAAATAGAAAACAACAAAACAAAACATGGAAAATCAAAAGATCATAGGTTATGGTTATGTTTTGCTGCCAGTGTATACCAATACTGCCAAAATGAAAATTCAAAGCTACTGCTACTGTTTAGTGTTCCTAAATTGATAATTGAAATTAGCCTTACTGAGTACAATGTGGGAGTGTGGAATGGAACATTTTAAGCTTGATTTTAAATATATTGGTATGTCTATGATTTGTTTATCTTCATATAATCCTATATTTTTCCTACCTAATTTTTTTCCTAATTCTGTTATAATAGACACTCCAACAGGTACTTCAAACCTCAGATCTTCTCCTGGTATTCCTAAGATGAAATTGTGTGAGGCATGCCGTCCTCCTTTAGCTATATACTGCTTTGTTTTGTTAGATTTGAAAACAGTTTCAAGGGATATGTCTTCTTTGGCTGCTACTACAACATTTCCTCCATTACCTCCAACACCACCAAATCTATGGGAGGAACATTAGGATAGATATATTAATATTAATAAATCTGGTGGCTAAGTTGTAGGTGATTTATCTGATAAACTGTATAATAACATTCAATGTATATTTTTACACCACAATATGAGCTGTTACATTTTTCAAGACAACTCAATAAATAGGTATAGGGTATAGGTATGAATATAGAAGTATCATCCAAAGTTTTATTTTGCAAGACTAGTATTATTGTAAATTGATTTGAAAATTTGTTCTCGGATTTCTTGTGTAAATAGTCATAAAAATCATTTTCTGGCAGATATATTACTTCAACAAAGCGTTCCCTTGATGGAAAAAATATATTACTTGGGCAGACCATTTCCTCCAGCACCACCCTGTACGTATATTTTTAGGTTATCTCTGAAACCTTCACGTAGGAATCTTCTGGTAATCTTTCTAACTTTCGCTAGTAATGAATTGGTTATCTGAACCATTTTAGAATAATTATTAATTATATTTTTTTACATCTTTGGAACTTTGCTTTGATGAATTTTGGTTGTTTTTTTTTTAAGGTTATACAGCGTTGCCACTTGCCAGGTTGCCAATGCAACCTGCACAGCAGCGCACCATCACTGCATGTTAAAAAGTTCTAGTACTTGACAAAAAAAATACTAGATTTTCAGAAAAATTACTAGTTTTTCACAATTCATTTATACCAGAAATGAGGTTGGATGAAAATTGGGGAAAAATTGAATCTTGATTTTGGAGTTTCAGAACCATAAATATCTACTAGTCATATATGAAGCATAGCTGACCTCAAAGCGGGACCATGCTTCTAAGACTAACACCAATAGGGTCCAATTCTTTCAATATAATTCTCACACTTCTATTCGTAATTACAAATCCTTGCTGAATGCATTTCAAATGCATTCATCGATAGCCGTGTAACTATCTGTCCGTACTTCTCAACTTCTTGTGCTACAAAACTTCAAACAACAACAAAACTTCTGATAAGGGAGTGAAATATTTTTTTCTGAAGAGGCCCATTATCTTCAATATTTGTTTAACTGTTGATAAACTCATACACTGTTTATGATATACCGTCAGGAAAGCAATAATTTCTTTGTAACTAAGCCTTTCCACATTGATATCTCGAACAAAGCTCTCCAAACTCGAATGACAATGTGACGGGCTGGCAGTGAGAACATTTGTCAGCAAATAATTCAGGTTATGTTGAATAGCTCATTTGACACAGGAAATAGATGATGCCACATGCCGTTCCTTGGCGATTTGGCGATTTTCGCTGAATGAACAGTCATGTATATCCCGTCAGACAGTCTAGATATTTAGCCGTCATTGGCTCCACGCCGAAAAGTGTACTATAGAAAAAGGTAGTGTACAATATAAATTTCATACAGAAACAGCGAACAGACCTCTTATTGCACAAATGCACATGTCATGCTGTCATGCATGACTTGTTCCTTGTTCCTTCATTTCATTCATATATTCGTATTTTGTATTTATATTATTATATTATATATTTTCGGTTGTAGCTGTCGAGTGTCGACCTTCTCTCGACTATACATTATCATCAATCATATTTATTTCGTCTGGAAGTGAATTGAATATTGATATTGTGATTTGTGATCAGTGTCCCCACGCCGCACACATATTTATTTTTTATAATGTGATCTGCCTGATGAAATTCATCCCTGCTGACGATTGAAATTACGTCCAAAATTACATCTTTTTGAAATGTGATTGCTCTGGTGAGTATTCAGAAACCACTATTACATCATAAGAATTCCAAGAACGTTGTACTTGGAATTCAAAAGCTTTGAAATAGTCAATATTATGCGAGGTACACTTTGCCAAATTGAAATAAGTTCAAGAAATATGCAACAGAATTTGAAGATAGCAGCCTTGGGCTCCGGTAATTTCATATTTTCAAGCCTTCGGAAATGAGAACATTTTCCTAGAATCAAACCGAAATGATATCTCCAAGGATATCTCTATATTATTATTCATGATTTATTTTCATATCTTATATTAACCAAGAAATTGGAACCATTGTAACTAGAAATTGTCACTATACTGCAACAGTCCAACAGTAGATTCATACCCACTACCTAGCTACTTTTATTTAAGTGTTATTATGTTGAACAGCATCAGAAATTGGGCAACAATAACAACAATACAAATTTTCATCCAAGGACTATCTATATATATATAGAAGTTTGCTCAATCAATGAAAAATACTGTGATAATTCTGGTATGCAAGAAAATGAAACTTTATCAGTGATGCATCTGAACATTCATAGTCTGAAAACAAAAAAACTACAACTAGAATCCTTATTAAATCAAAAAAATCCCCATATTTTATGCATTACTGAAAGCTGGCTAAGTGCTGATGAACATATTAGCTTGGAGGGATACAATCTAATAAATTTCTTTGCTAGATCCAACTCTCGTGGAGGAGGTGTTCAATTATATGCAAAAAATTATGAGACCATGAAAGTAATCAATGTTAACAGCAGTGACAAAAAATTTGAAATTTGCACAGTGAAAGTTAAAATACAATATGTAACAACAATATGCATAGGCATATATCGTTCACCAGAAAGTAATGTGCTTGAATTCTTTGAACATTTGGAAGAGACCCTTAGTAACTTGTACAAGCCAGAATTCAAATTCATAATAGCTGGTGACTTCAACATCAATCTGATGGTGAAGAATAGAATAACAAGTAATTTTTTGGACATTCTCAGTCAATATAACATATATCCAACTATTAAGGAACCAACTCCAATAACCGAAAATGAAACTTTATCAGTGATGCATCTGAACATTCATAGTCTGAAAACAAAAAAACTACAACTAGAATCCTTATTAAATCAAAAAAATCCCCATATTTTATGCATGACTGAAAGCTGGCTAAGTGCTGATGAACATATTAGCTTGGAGGGATACAATCTAATAAATTTCTTTGCTAGATCCAACTCTCGTGGAGGAGGTGTTCAATTATATGCAAAAAATTATGAGACCATGAAAGTAATCAATGTTAACAGCAGTGACAAAAAATTTGAAATTTGCACAGTGAAAGTTAAAATACAATATGTAACAACAATATGCATAGGCATATATCGTTCACCAGAAAGTAATGTGCTTGAATTCTTTGAACATTTGGAAGAGACCCTTAGTAACTTGTACAAGCCAGAATTCAAATTCATAATAGCTGGTGACTTCAACATCAATCTGATGGTGAAGAATAGAATAACAAGTAATTTTTTGGACATTCTCAGTCAATATAACATATATCCAACTATTAAGGAACCAACTCGAATAACCGTGACAAGCAAAACATGTATTGATAATATTTTTAGCAATATCGAACAGTTTTCATCTCTTGTGCAGGATTCCTGTATATCTGATCATACTTACCAAATAACTACATTCAATCTGAGCAAAGAGAAAATCACAACAAAAAATACTTATTCTGGAAAAAGATACTTCTCACATGCAAATCTTATTAATTTTGAAACAAGGCTATTACAACAAGATTGGTCACAACTTGATCAGATAGAAAATTTAGATGATATGTTCAATTCATTTTACAATAATTTTTTGGAATTTTTTTTTGAATCATTTCCAAAAACAAAAACAAAGAATAGAAAAAGAAATAAACCAGGGTGGATGACGAATGAAGTTGTCCAGCTACAAAAATTGGTTAATGAGATGCATACAATAGACAAACAAATTCAAAATGAATGCTACCATCAAAGATATATTCAGATGAAAAACCTGTATAATCATAATTTGAACAAAGCAAAACTAACATATAATAATGAAAGAATATTCAATGCAAAAAATAAAATGAAGGAAGGTTGGAGGATCATTAATGAATCCAGAATATCAGCACGAAATCAAATTACAGAAATTGTGGATACAAATGGTCTTCACATATCTGATCCATGTGAATTAGCTGAGATATTCAATCACTATTTTGTAAATATTGCTGACAATAATATAAAAGCAGAACCAACTTTGAAGCATATTCGAAACAAACTCAACTCTATATTTCTAAGTCCAACAGTTCCTGAAGAAGTCGAAGAAGCAATCAAGATTGCTTGTAAGAAATTCACATATGGACCAGATGAAGTACCTGGCACAGTATTGAGAAAAATCTCTCATATAATATCAATACCATTATCAAAAATCATAAACCGCTCTTTTGAGGAGGGCAAATTTCCATGTAACTTGAAGTGTTCTAAAGTCATTCCTATCTACAAGAATAAAGGACCCCAGAATGAAATGAACTCATATAGACCCATCTCTCTCCAATCTCAGTTTTCAAAAATTATTGAATATTGTTTTTGCAGCAGGCTATATAAATACTTTGAATTTTTTAAAATTCTAACTAATTCACAACATGGTTATCGTAAAGATCGTTCTACAATGACAGCTATCGAACAACTTATACAAAGCATAACAGAGGCACTTGAAAACAAAGAAAATACAATGGGTTTATTCTTTGATATGAGCAAAGCCTTTGATATGGTAGATCACAAACTGTTACTCACAAAAATGTATTACTATGGAGTCAGAGGGAGTGCATATGAGTGGATATCTTCCTATCTAGAGAATAGAACTCAAAGTGTGTTCATAAATAGCATAGCATCTGAAAGTAAAACTGTCAATAGAGGAGTTCCGCAGGGATCCATTCTGGGGCCTTTGCTATTCCTAATATTCATTAACGATCTTCCTACTTTCTGTTCAGATTTATCGACAAGCACTGTTATATATGCAGATGATACAAATATTATAGTGAGAACAAAAGACACTAACATGCTGAGACAACTGGGACAGGCTTCAGTCACGCAAATAGCCGATTGGAGTTTAAAGAATGGCTTAATTCTAAACAATGAAAAAACACATTTCATAAATTTCGTGCAAAAAAACTACAAAAACGAGAGTAGCATTTTACTGAAGTTAGGGAAATCGCTTAAGCAAGTTGAAACAACAGTCTTTCTTGGTATAACAATTGATCACAAGTTGACGTGGAAATCCCACATTGAAAATCTAGGATCTAAGTTGCATAGGCAATTGTTTCTTTTGAGGCAATTAAAAGACACAGTTTCTTACAACATTTTATTACTACTATATAACAGTGTAATTGAATCAGTTATTCGTTATGGAATAATTTACTGGGGCCATAGCGCAAGTTCTAAGGAGATTTTTATTTTACAAAAAAAAGCCATCAGATTGATGCTGGGGTTACCATACAACTCACACTGCAAAAAACACTTCATCAGTTTGGGCATTCTGACAATGCCATGTTTATATATCTACGAGGTTTTGGTGTTCATCAGAAAGAACTCAACCTCTTTCAAAACGAACAATTGTGTACATGATTATGGTACAAGAGAAAGAGGTAAGTTACACTTGCCATTTAAAAGACTCCAAATCGGCCAAAATGATCCAAATTATATAGGCATCAAATTATACAACAAATTGGATGAATCGATAAAACTTTGTAGTACAATGAATCAGTTCAAGAATAGATTGAAAAAATTCTTAATAGGTAAGGCATTCTACAGTATTGAAGAATTTTTTCTAAACGTTGATGTAACATAATTCAGTAAAAAAAAAAAATTTGGCTGTGTAATTTTCACTTGTGATAAGTAAATAACTTTTTCTTGTGTTGTATTCATTAATTAATAATTATTAAGAGTGTTAGTCTTTGTGTAAACACAATTTTCCTAGGTATGTGTAATATTTCTACACTTTCCTTTTTTTGTGACAAGCTGGACAAAATGTGAATATGTCTTTGTTGTACACCATTTACACTTTAATCTAGTAATAAAGTTGATTTGATTTGATTTGATTTGATTTGATATTGATTAACCTTGACTTCTGTGGAGATAGGAATTGAATAATATCAACAAGTAAACTGATTATACCACCTACATGGTGATGCTTTTAGGACTGCAACATTTTGAAATAGTCAATAATCTGAATATGTCTGGAGTACTTTGTTTTTTTCCATACTAGATCAACATTTTCCATTATTCTGGTGTAGAGATTGCAAATTATTATTTTGTATGCTCCTGTGTATGTCAATATGTTAACTGTAAAAAAAATGTCAACAATTTTCAGAACACCCATTTTGATCTAGTGATAGGCCATGATGACCATAAATAGGTATCATAGGTAGTGATGGGTGTAATAACCATCAGTTGATTCTTGAAGATGGGAAGAAATCATGACAAGAAGATACCTAAGACTGAATTGAGAGAAATAATAATGAAAAATGAATATTATTGCTGATGACTGCATTTTGGAATATATTTCTTACCAGGCACCTTTTTTGTCTATTCTGGTCATTCCCTATTACTATGATAATTATTATTCCAATGTGAACTAATTTCATATTCAAAATTAAGTATTCAATCATTTTCCTCTCCTTTTCCCCAGCCTTTTCCAGCTTGTTCATCACCCACTAAGAAAACATATTATTTTATATCTAATCCTCCATTAAATAGCATGAGAAGAAGAGAATATACATATGAAAATTAATAAAAATATTCTTTCACTCTGAGATCTTGCTTGAGATTATTCCCATAATTTTGCAATAAATAATGCAATGTTTCTGTTCCAATATAAGGTGCTTGCTCTATTGTTTTTGGTGATGATCAGATGAATTGAAATTTTGGTTGTTTTTCATGGTTCTGATTTCCCATTCTGGCATCTGGAAAAATGTTAGGTACCA